TTCTTTAAACATACAGGTAATGGCTCATGCTCAATCAAAGATGAGAATAGCCGAACCCTAACAGTGTCTGAAGCTCAACCCATGGTTTATTCTTTGCCAACCACAGCAGATGACTATGATGAACACTGACAGTATACTATAATTAGCGTCAGATCACGTGGCCGCTTGTTCTAATAGCGACTTTTCATTTTTCATTTCATTTAATTTATTTACCCTCAGGGCATAAAGCATTACAGAGGGGGAGTGGGGGGAACAATGAGTTCGCTAGTAAAAAAAACTCACGTGGGAAAATTGATAAAAATCATGATTAGCAAAATCAAGTGAAGATACGAACCATTGCCTTTTTAAAAAGAACACTGTCTACAATTGAAACAATGGGGGCCGGAAGGTGGTTCCATTAATGGGATGTGCATGGTACAAAAGAATGGTAAAAAGCATTGCAATTTGAATGAGGGATGCCAACTTTATGTTGATGACCGACTCGTGAAGAAACAGAAACGAAGTTCAAAAAGCCTTTCTCGCAGTGTAACATTAGTGTAATAAATTTTGTGAAATAGGCTTAAACGAGCGATTTTTCTGCATACTGAGAGATGTGGAAGTGAAGGTTAGCCGTCATTAACGATACTAGCGGTTCAATGATAGTTAGAGCAAATGAAACATACTGATCTGTTTTGTATGGCTTCGAGTGATGCAATTAGTGAAGATTGACCAGGGTCCCAAATAGGTGATGCATACTCTGGCTTTGGTCGTACAAGTGTTTTGTACAGTATCACCTTTAATGATTAGGGTGCCAATGAGAAGTTTCTCTTCAAGTAGCCCAGCATACAATTTACATTGTTAGCTACGTTATCTATGTGGTGTTTCCATGTCAGATCAGACGTGATATGTACACCAAGGTACTTATCTTCCGAGACCGACTGTAATGGAATTCCTTTAATATTATAATCTGCAGGTACTGCTGTACATCTTGATATACACATAGATTTATATTTAGTTGAGTTTAATTGCATTGACCATGATTCGCACCAAAGTGACACTGCATTAATATCATTTTGTAACTGTCGATTCATTGTTAATGGTTACTTCGCTGCATAGGACGCAGTCATCAGCGAATAGTGAAATATTGGATGAAGTATTAGATGTTAAGTCATTGATATAGATTAAAAATAGCAAAGGTCCTAAGACTGAACCCTGCCGTACTCCTGAAGTGACAGAAACTAAAGTGGAACTAGAGTCATTGATGGTAACCAATTGTTTGCGATTAGTCAAGAAAGAATGTATCCAGGCGAGAACTTTAGGGTCGATATTTAGTTTACCAAGTTTTAACAGAAGTAGTTTGTGAGACACTTTATCAAACGCTTTTGAAAAATCTAAGATGATGCGCTCTATACTTGACCTCCGGTCAAGTATAGAATGAAGGTCGTGTGTGAACGATGCAAGCTGCGTTTCGCATGAGAATGATTTCCGAAAACCATGTTGAAATGGACAAAAGAAGCAGTTCGATTCTAAGAAATTCACAAAATTGGAATAAATTATATGCTGTAAATTATATTATATGAAGAGGGGAAAGCTGTTTCTTTCCTTTATTTTTCCAGCGTCCGCCATCGAGCGGAGAGGAAAACTAATGAGCGTTTTTGCAAGTTATCAATGTCTGGGATCCGCGCTAAGCAGTAATTACTGAAAGTACAAAATAGTTGCATGACCCATTTTACATGCACACATCATTGAGACACCCAAACATGTTTTCGTTGTTGCTAAACTGTCTCAGAAAGTTGTCCCCGAGAATAAAAGCATTGAAAGGACTAAATGTGACTTATTAATCTGACGATAAATAGAACTACAAGTGTGTACGGGAGGGACACCTGAAGAGAAAGATAGTAGGTGCTAGTGGTCTCAGAGGGACACCCAAACGTTGGTAGCTGCTTTAAGTCTCACAGGAGTGTCATTCTCAATTTTCCCCCAGCTTTGACCACCCCTGATTTTGTTTAAATTTCAGAATTTTTGGGTGCAAAATAAAAGAAATAGAGGATTACTGTTAACAAATGACAAAAATATAATTGTCAAAGTAACACCCCCAAATGGAGGTGGGAGTCCCTCAGGGATAAAAAGTATTATCTGGAGGAGCATCGAAAAAAGAAAAGGGGAAAGGGGAGGGGGAGTTTAAATCATGCTGCGTAGAGGTTCCTCTGCTCCACATCTTTGGCACAAACCGTAAAGCGCGATCCAGGAAAATAACTTTGTTTTCAAAAACACTCCTGGCGGAAAGCGCCATTTCGTGGTGCCAGACGCCCGCGCCGTTCCTCACAACACTGCACCAAGCAAGAATAATATGTGTCTCTCTAACACATGACTTGCACTCAGTGGGATTTGATTTTCTCAGCAAGAATAAATAGCAGTGACCACCAGCATATAGTGTGGTGATGTCACGTCATGCAAACCATGTCAAACAGATCAGTTTTCTGGTGCAATGCAATGTTCTGAACACTAGCAAAAGTGGATGTGCAAATTGTAAGGTTATGCAATATATGTAGGAGTCTCGCGATGATATGTAGCAGCCTAATAAAATGTTAGAGCGCACATGACTGATAAAGCACAGAGTTGCAAAGTGAGGGCCCAAAACAAGTGCACTTAAAACCGAATATAACATTAGCCTCCCGAGAATGTATTTTGCGAAGTTCCAAAACCGTGCAAGCCGATGTCCAAATGTGATTTATATTAGGAATATATTTTCTCTCCTCTACGCTATTTATGTGTAATTAAGAATGTCATTGCATGCATCACTATGTATTTCTGTTTGCAGTAAGGCGTTGTATATGAGATTATTTCGAAAAATACCATTTATTATCTCTCTTTCTGCACATTCCGTGTATTTGCCTACAGATTTATTATGTGAGCACACAGTCCTTTTTGGCGTACCCCGCGACCCGATGTTTCACACTGCCAAGCAGTGAACAAAAAAGCATGTTTCCACAGACTCAGCAGCTGGCGTATTTTCGAGTGTCGTCCCCCCGTGTCAGTCTCAAGCGGTTATGTGAACTTGATACAGTCAAGCTTATTGATGAAAATAAAAATATATTTAATTATTGCCTGAACATTTGACAACATAAATAAAGGGCCGATCATCTTGAAGATTTACATCATAGGTAACTTCACCCTCATATTATCTAAAATATGCTCTGCAAATCTTTTCCGGCGTTTTTATAAGCGATACGGCTATCCCGTATCGCTTATAAAATTTTTCAATAGCAATTTTTGCTATTGAAGCTGATTTAAATAACTATGGGTTGCTGACACATATTTAACTTCTCAAACTTATAGAAGTCTGTTATTGCCTCTTTTATGTGATGAGCAACAATTTAACGTGTCTGTTTGTGGGCTGGACAATAACAAAGTACACAGGATCGCATGGTGAACCACTATGAAGATTGCGCACGCGGGCCGTCAGAAAGTGACCAGTTAAGTAGCTGCAATGTCGAGTAGAGTATGAAATACTACTTTGTTCTATTTAACAAAAAATCACCAATTAATCAAGCAAGGGTGGTGCTTATTTGCAAATTGAATTGACTGGCATCTTGTCAAGAACAAACCTCGAACGCCAGGCAGGCTATGCCGAAAATGTTCACTTGGATATGCGCTATTTTAGGCCAGATTTGATCAGTATGAAGGTGCGTATAGGTTAAAGCGGTACAATTTAGATCACCCTTTCCTGCATGATTATTTGCCTGCATCACGGTGCTGAGTGTAAACAATGTAGGTCAGGAAACCAAGCCTTGTGATTGCCGCCCTTGAAGTTTCTATTCACTCTTTCTAGCGTGAGTTGAAACGTGGTGGCACCAATGTGCAAATATTCCCCAGCCACTTCCAGTTCTGAACTAGACAGCGGGTTTCCCAGTATTTGGAAAATCAAATATACACGTTATCTTTTGGAATGGCTACTAATAGCACTGTTAGACTTAATTCACTGTTACACTGAAAGAATGATGAGTAGAAAATTTGGGAATATACATAAACCGGAAGTGTGCCGGGGCTACCCACAAGATGGTACCTCCGAGTTCATTGCCAAGCAAGAAAGGGCGAATAAAAAGCAGTCTGAAAGGGCATGTCCTTAAACTTTTGTAGCATTTTTGCAAATATCGCTTTCAGTTCAGTTGTGTCCTCATCATATACTGTGAAATGTGTTTCATAAACAAGATTTCACAATATATGTGGTGAGAATGTGCCCATTGCATGATTCTATGCACTGTAATTAATTCCTAAGTTCAAGAGCTTAACTAGGATTTAACTTGATATACTGTGACACAAAGTTGTACCAATCATGGCTCTTTTAAGCGACCGAACAGACGGATAACCTTTCGATTCAAGTAAAATTAATGCCACTGAGTTAAACCACTAGATGTTTATTCATATAAACACAACGTTTTGCATGTTAATCTAGCTTTTCTTTGATTGTTTCATTGAAATTAAATAAAGCAATTTCTTATTTTCGGTACCTGAAAATAAAAGTGGATTGTATGAATGACAAAAAGCCATATAGTTACTTATTTCACACTTGATATAGTGCCTATTGCCAAAACAATGCAGAAAATGTATTCTCAATTTAGCGGTTCAAACCGTTATTTTTTGCTCCCCAAAACTGAACCGGAACTAAGCCATGAACCCCAAACCAAACCGATAAAAATTTTGGTTTGACACTCTGATGAATAATATTAGCCAAACAGAATCCTTTTCTTTCATTGCCCTATTCATAGTTAAATGCATTTCTTGCAGCAAAAATCACAAAAACAAAAACAAAAAACCTTTCTTTTTTTTTAATTTTGACGGTTTTTATGTTAAGCTGATAAAGGGTGTTCGTCTGTCACGCCCCAGCAAAGAGGGGAAAAAGGGGGGTCATTAGGGGAATTGATTTTTAATAAGCGATTACTCCGTCGCACATTTTGCATGATTAAGCCATTGACTGCCGTACGGAACTAATCTGGAACCCCCGTGTCATTTCTTTCAAGGATAAAGTCCAAGTTCAGTTCCAGTGGTCCCTGGTCTGCCAAGGAGAACCACAATTCAGTCATCGCAAGTAAAACTTCAACCCCAGCCTTGAAGGACAAAGGTATACTAAAATACTTTGCCCCTACACCGATTGCCCCTCAAGCATTGCATTAACCGTTTCTGAGGGAAGGAAATAACACCGGACTCTGGATATCATAAATCTGTGCACAAGATTGTTTTTAAGACGTAAGCAACATGGCACCATTGTCTCATTTCACTAAAAAGATAGGACTGTGGTATGCTGCTTATATCCGTCTTGCCAGCCATTAATGCCTGTGGGGGTCCTCTCGGATGACTGATCTTTCGCACGCTTTGTGCAGGCTGCAGCAACGAAGACCTGCAGGCGATGGGTGACCGTCTCCTGGATTGGTTCTCGGTGGTGATGAGTGATCACCAGCTGAGCACCCAGGTGTCCACCAGGCGACGCACCCACAGGGTCTCCGACTGTATGTACCGCACCAACTTCTTCCCAAGACATCTTGCTCAGCGTGTTGCGTGTACTACCATATATTTCTTCTATTAATAGTCACGCCGTTTACGAGCAAGGCCCGCACGTTTACATTCTGACAAAGCTCACATACAGCCAATCATTGTATTCTAAGTGAGGTAAAAAAACAGCTCCTTGCAGAAACATGTGCTGAACTTTTGGCATATAAAACGTCATGTGCAGTGTCAGAGGTGAGCTAGCTTATTTGAGTGAAGACGTTGCGTCTCTTACATCATTCTGTCAATCACAATGACTGGTTAGCTGGGTGCTCTGCTAAAACACAGACGTGCAGCCTTTGTGCATTAACAGCGGGGCTATCCCTTGAACAAGTACGGTAGTTCACGGAGGTCTGAAAAAAAATAAAGATGTTCTCTATGTGCATGTTCTGCCACGTCAACATTTTAAAATTAACTTTTTTTTTTTAATACATGGATTGCTGTGCGGCATGACCAGATCGCAGCGGTCAGGTTCAATTGTTAAAACATTGTAATTAATGAGGTGGGATTTAATGACTACATTGTGTTATTCTTTTGGAGTATATAGGCTGTACAAGTGCCCATCTGACACTGAATTAATGCCATAACAATGTTTATGTGGACATTCCCAGTCACTTGGGCAACTACAGACTACAATAGAGCATGCGAACTCGGAGTAAGGCACACTGCAGTTGTGTGTCATTTTAGACAAGTACTACTCGTATTCTTAAGCAATAAAACAGCAAAGATGTGAATGGACCTAGGAGGCTACCTAGGCAGCTTGCCTTTTCCTGTATGATCTTTTTGCTAGGTGGTAGTTTCTGAATGCCATTTACATTTTTAGGCATGTGCAAATAGTGGATTTTGAGTATGAAGTGAATTTAAAGTGAATAATGGTTTTGGCCAAATATTAACGAAATGAATATTGAATAGTTTCTGTCTTTCACTATTGTGCACCATGCTTGAGCGAAAATTCGGCTGAACTTGCGAAGGCTGTTTCCAAGTATCCATTTGTCCGCTTCTAAGCTCAGTTAATTTTAATATAACTACCATAGAATACCGCGCATCCGCCCATATGCTCATTCCCAAATTTTTAAGATCTGAGGAAATATGCGCAGTACATTTAAATATAAAATTGATGACCAGACAAGCGCCGATCCCCCATTCTCGCGATTATTTCTAAATTTTGAATGGGCGCTTGTCCGGTATTTTATGGTATACAGAGCAGGGCCGTGCCCAGAAAAAAATTTCGGGGGGGGGTTTTCAGGGACAACGGCGGCCATTTTGAAAGTGTCTATTGTCTTATTTTCGCCTATGAATCATGTGCATCGGTGGCATATAATGGAGTTACAGCAAACTGGAGAACCGGTCCCGGTTTGGTACCCGGTAGCCGACCGGCGCCACTGCGCGTGCGCAGAGGTGGAGATTAAAATCGGCTGGCTGCCAGTGCACCGACCAGGGCCATACCCAGAAAAAAATTTCGGGGGGGGGGGGGGGGTCAGAACCCCCTAACCCCCCCCCTGGTTACGGCCCTGATATTACAGAGTGTTTTCTTTTTAACTTTACAGATTTGTTTAAAAGAAGCCTTGAAAGTTACACTTGCGTGGTTTGTGCAAGCGAGTTATATGGCGAGGTAGTATGGTAGTATGGGGGCAAATTGTAGTGATCAGTCAGCTACTTATGTTAAATTTGTTAATTAACTTTTTAATTAATGAAAATAGACTTATAGTTCCGATGACGAACTTGGTAAGCACAATTGAAAACCACTAAATTGACTCTTTTTACGAAGATAAAAGAGAGGAGCATCATTTTATGGCATTCTGAAGAAAAAAACGCTCAATTCACTGCAGACGTGTTTCTCGGTTTCGGTTTCTTATCAGAGCACATCTTTGCACCTCCAGTTCTAGTTCTGCTCTCAGGTTTATTTTTTTTCTGGGTAGTGTCTCACCTTAAAAAAATGTTAATGCAAGCTTTCAATTTACTTCGTGCTTTCTTTTTACTTCTACATGGATCAGCGCCGCTCGCAGTGACAAAATTTACTGGGGCGGAAACCACCAAAGTTTTCGGACCTGCAGGTAGCTTTATCTAAAAACCATGGTACAATAAATGGACGATGTTATTGTCGCCGACAAGACGAGAATGGTAGGGTGTCTCTCGCCTGCCCGGCCTCCAAAATGCGCCCCATGCCTTCCGCCGTGCCTTAGCAGTGCGATCGCGTGAGGTGCACGAGACGCCGAAGCATTGTTGAAGGGAAAAGGCATAGCTGAAGCTCCTCCCTGCTGTTTTCACCTTGCCAGTGACTGTATTTTTTTCTTGTTTATGTCTCAAGGCGCGGACATTCGCGTTTGCCTAGGACCGAGTTCTTGCAATCTCTCGCGACGAGAAAACATCGGAGAGCCTGTATCACGGAGGGTTCCCAACCGCTCGATGGAAGGTCACCGGGTTTACGGGTTGCGTCTGCAACACGAGCTGCGAGAAGGTGCTGAAAACGTCGACCATCCTGCAGATGTCTTCGCCTTTCTGCCCGCTTTCCTTCTCGCACGCAAAAACGCGACGCACGCGCACTTGCGACCGACCTTTGCGGTGGGCGTCCGCCAATGGTTGGATTGCAAATGCTCCCAGTGGTTCGAGATGGTCGTTTATTAAGATTGTCAAAAGAGTTACGAGCCAAGTAGGAAAGAATTCTGTGCAAAAAAAAGGAAAAGAAATAAATGTATATTTGTGTATTTTCTGTTTAATTAGCTGTTTTCTTCGAAAGGAGTTCGAGTGTTTATTTTTCTCGTTTCTTGCTTTATATAACTGTGTTGTTTCTAGCCCGTACCCCCACCTTGTGTAATGCCCGTAAGGGCCTTCCAGGTTTAATAAATGATGATGATGATATGAAAACTGCAAGTACTCAGCGGCCACCCGTGGCCATAAGCAGTCGCAAGTGTGGGAACCAGCCTCTAGCACCCTGGGTGATTGAGGGCCCCCTTGTGCATGCAGACAACCTTCCGGAGTGCAAGCACGAGGTGGGCTGGATGTTCCACCACCTGGACTCCGACGGCAACCTGCTGCTGACCTTGAGGGAGCTGTACGACCTTGAGCACGACGACCGGGAAAAGTGCCTCCAGCCGTACCTGGCCGTCTGCGACGTCAACAGGGACTCCTTCCTCAGCACCATCGAGTGGTGCGCCTGCTTCAACAAGTCACGTGAGCAGCTCACATTCCCTCCTTGCTCGGCCTCGTCTCCCCTCTGCCGCGTGCGAACCTCCCGTGTTCTGTCTCTAACATCTGACGACATACTGCATAGACGTCATTGCATCGTTTGTACGCGTCCCAACCCCACCCCCCCCCCCTGTGTCATAATGCCAGTAATGGCACTGTGGGTACTGCTAGTGGATAATTAACTAGAGTGCTATTCGCAACACAAGTGGTATCGGTGCATGCCATGGAGTCGAATGCCGTGTCGTTGAGAAGAGTTGGGCTATAAAGGATAAGCTTCGGTGGAGCCCTGACGGAGCACATAAGTGTCCTCCCGGTTGCTACATTTGTGTCTCGTTAATATTGACCCCTTTGTAATGGGTACCTTATTATATAGACAGAATTTTCGGAGACGATTCGGATAAATATATGCATTCTGTCATATTATGAATGCCTCATATTATGGACTTTTTGGGGGGGGGGGGGGGGGGGGAGGAGGGGGAGGGGAAGAGATGGAGGGTGTCTGTTAATGAGGCAGTAAGAGGTTAGTTTGTACCTGTTCGGACTTCTTTCCTAAAGGTCTAATTCCTATGTGCGACTACATTGGGTGAAAACAGAATTTATAACACTTTCTTCCTCCCTCTTTGTCTTGCATGCTCTGCAGAGAGGCCATGTGCGGCAGCACTGAGGCGGGTCACTCCAGGTTTGGTCGGTAAGTCACCCTTTGCTGACATTAGGAATAAAGTCCGCCAGGAGCAAATTCTTGGAATTGGCATTTACCCACCTTTGTAGGCTTCCTTGTATGTCTCAGCAGGCACAAGGTTTGGAGAGGGTGAAGAAATAACCAATTAGACATTGAGAAGATTAGAGATCCTGTTAAACGTGTTCCGTTTTCTTAGCAATACTAAACATAATGATCATCTTTATTTTGATATTCCCACCAACAGCACTAAGCCTAAGGAGAAATACACTGGTGTGAAAAAAAAAAAAAAAAAAAAAAAAAAAAAAAAAACATTGCAACACACACCAAGAATAAATGTGGGGGTGTCCGGCTCAGAGTTGTGCACCAGTGCATGAGTCAGCCGTGCCTAAACTAGGAAGTCACCTTACCCTAGTTAAAAACGATTGAAAGTGCTTTCTGGGTGCCTGGCAAGCCCCAGGTGCTTACACCTCTGATAACCTAACTGAGAATCTATGATGTAAACTTCTAAAGTGACTCTGTGACAGGTCACTACTCCTGACGCATGATCCACCCAACTGGAAGGAGTCTCTGACTAGGGTGTTTACGTCTTTAGTTTATCCCAACGATTTGAGACTGGCGACATTGCAGCTATCTAATGCCACGGGTCACTGCCATAATCACGGCGGAGGTACACCGGTGGAAGTGGGTACAGCAGATGGGGCTCGTTTTACCGCAGCTTGCTCCGTAGCCGGAAATTTGACGAAAACGCCTACAGGTTGGGACGCCGCGACAACAGCAAAACCCGCATCTGCTCGTTGCCTTTGCCAACACTTCTAGAATCGACCGCCACAATCGCGACAACCCACCCCGATACTCAGTAGCTCCTGCAACGCGTTTCGTTGCCGCTTCATTGCACATTGACGCATGGGCAGTATGGCGTGCTAAATGCACTACTCATCCAAAAATGCATTCTTGGGTGCTTGAAAACGCTCAGTGGTATGGCCTCTGCAGTATCCCTCTCACTAGTACGAGTTGATCAAGCCTGGCGCACGTACTGCAGGTGCCTACATCCCCCAGTGCGACGAAGAGGGCTACTTCATGCCGGCACAATGCCACAGCAGTGCCGGAATGTGTTGGTGCGTCGACCGCCACGGAGCTGAGTTTGCTAACACCCGCCGGAGAGACAGGCCCGACTGCGGTATGCCACCTGTGCCTTTTTCATTTTTTTTTTAAATAATGATTTTGGTGGCAACTTTGATCACTCCAGTCTGGGTTTCACCCAAGCTTCCAAACAGTTGCTTAAAGAGAACTCCCGTGCGCATTGTTGTGGATTGCCTAAATTTTCCACTCTGCGTGCCTGTAAAACACAGGAGCCGAGCAAACTTTGAAATAATTATTTCCTAACATAGACCGTGAAATCAAGTCAGTTAATATAATCTTGTGTGTACCGTCAAATCACGTTATTGTCAATGTCGTTATTAGAAATTTTTCCGATTTACGAACATTTAAAAAATCCCCTTCGAATGCCTATTAGTTTCAATGCAAAAATATTTTATTACTATGAATTTCAGAATACTGAAAATTTTAGAATAATGTGCGTAATGTAAATTCTCTTGTATGCGAACAACACCTCAGATTTACAAATTTATATATAGAAAAAAAAAAAAAAAGAAAGAATGGCTGGAAGCATTTGTAGTTAGCGAAAATAATATGAAGTTACAGCAACGCGCACATTTTGGCCGCTTGGCGACTCCCAAGACACCCAACCCTATGCTCACCGTCGTCATCATCAAAGATCAACCCAGGAAACAAATGCGTACTAGGCCTAACCGCCCAACTTCGTATTCCTCTCCTTCACGCGGGCTGTTCCGCCTCAGCAAGCTGCGCATATTCCTTGGAAGGCGTGACAATGCAACCGAAGCTGTCCATAGGAAGGTGGACGACACTGAATCGTTCGTCCTGCAGCATTTGTGCTGCACCAACCAGAAATCTCGGATTTCTTCCATTAACTGTGCCGTGTGTGCTGCATCAACACTGCCTGTATACTCTATGACTATCAGAAGCGCTCCCCGAAGCCGTCGTGTTTACTAATTCCTCCTCTTCTAACGCCCGTGTGCGCCGCGAGATGGCATTGACTACGTTGGGAGGTCATAAAAAGCCGATTGAAGAGAGGGTCCATCTCAACCCATGGGGAGTGTTTGCAATTTAATGGCAGACGCCTCCTGCAGAGATAGTCGCAAATGCATGCGCTGCACTTTCGCATGGCGAGGCGGAAAGTAGGAGGAAAGGTGGAGACATTTGCAGACGATCAACATATTCGTCACCTCCTCGCAGCTCTGATTGCAAATAGCCTATAAACCACGTGACCCCGATCGAGCATTTAGAAACTTCCGTAATACAAGCTCTCTAGGGCACGAGCAGACGATACGTCACACACAAAGCCCCAGCGTTAGCCTCCTAAAAGACTGTATTACAGGGTTTCCAACTGCTCTGTCGTGATCACGTGGTTTATGGGCCGCGCTTGCAATACGAGCTGCGAGGAGGTGACGAAAGTGTTGATAGTCTGCAGGCATCTCCAACTTTCCTCGTGCTTTTGTCCTCGCTACGCGACAATGAAGCGTATGTGTATTTGCGATTGATCGCCGCAGGAGGTTTCTGTTATTAAATTGCAAATGCTTCCCGTGGTCTGAGATAGACCCTCCGTTCAATCTAGGCTCTCTATTTCGCCCCAACGAAGGTGGTGCCCCCACACTGAAACTATGGTAGCGGCGCGCGACTTCTTGGACGGCGGCCCCCATTGTGTTTTTCTCCATCCGAGAAGCATAGAGTATACAGAAAGCATTGGCCATGTTCAATCGCGTGAGCGGCACCAGTGTCAGCGTCGGGTCGTTCCTCCTGTAGCATTTGTGCTGGATCTTCTCTTTCAAGAAATATCTAGTGTTCAGCCACATGTAGCTTTTTTTTTCTTTTTCCCTCGAATAAAACTGAGCATTTGGATATTTTTATTCCAAAGGTAGGCTATTTCTGCTCAGACTTAATTACAAAATACGAGTTTTTCACTATAGCGATACAGTAAACTTTCGTTAATTCGACCTCGACGGGACCTTGAAATTTGATTGAATAAAAAAAAAAATGACAGAAAAACAGGTAAAATTAAACTTCCTTTTATTGTCTGAAGTGCTCACAGATGGTATGCTGCCGTCTGCGCTTAAAACGCGTGTCCAAAAGCATGCTCCGGAGAGCAGCGTAACTAAACGTCAAACGTCCCCAAAAAATCGCGCACTAAAAAAAAAAAAATAAGTTTTATGAGCCGACTTTGGCGCCAAGCAGCCAGACGGTCGGCGACAGAAAAAAATAACAAAAAAAGAAAAGGAAAAAAGAACCCACACTTTTTGACGCACCAGATGGATTGCACACAATGCTACAGAAAAGCGCTTTGAGAGCGCGCGCGACAAGAAAGCTTTACGAGCCGACTTTGGCGCCAGGCGACCAGACCGTCGGCGACAAAAAAATTATAACAACAAACGAACAAAAAAAAAAAGGAAGAGATAATTTGTGCTTTTTGCCATGCAAGATGGATTGCACATGATGCAATAGAAAAGCCCTTTGAGAGCCCGTGCTGTCTTCGCGCCCGACCACGTGCTATGTTCTCCGCGCTACTCCACGCCCGATTGGTTGCGCTGGCTCATGTCATTCGCTACGGTCCATCTCAAGGGCGTAGAGGAGCAGGTGCATATTTGCACACGTCCGGCTTAGTAGCAAAGGGCCCGTGTTTCGCGGCACGTTGGTGGTTTTTCTGCTGGGGAATTCAGTTTATATATCAGTACCCTCACTATATCTGCACTTTAGATAACTGCACCTGTATTACAAAGATACTTCCACTTTGCTTCACTATATATCAATCCATTATAATAGTTATTCTGGCCCATACTACTGTTTGCAACTTTTACTGCTTGCTGGAGACATGGTGGCAACTATCGATCAAAGTTGTAGGAGATTGACACAACACCTTAGTGGAATGTGTAAGCATTGTTCCACTTGTGATATTGGGGAGCAAGATTATCTTATGTCAGGAAGGCCTATGTGGTGGGACTTCATTGAACAATAACCAATTAAGTTGGATTACGGAATGAAAGTGAGCCTCCATGTTGCAGCTTCCCTGCCCCCATCCTCGAATGGTGATGATTTCAACATTAATCCTGCTGCTTAAATGAAAACGAAACGCAACACTACAGTATATGCAAGAACATTTATGATGATGTTGACCACAGCACCACCATCACTGAAAGCTGCAGATTGCAAGTTTTAATTTCTCTCTTTGCAAATTATACAAGGCAAGATGAAAACAATGCAGAGTAGAGTGTGCCTATTGCTCAGCGTTGGCAACTCCCGCAAAGTGTCAGTGTTTTACAACCTATTAAGAGCTGTTACCACGAGTAGTCCTGGTATATATATATATACTACAAGGTGGCACAAGCACATTCGACACTGTAAAAAGAGCCTGAAAAATCGGCTACTGCCCCATACAAAGCTCAAATTTTCACCAAACTTGCACTGAGCAGGTCAGTTTATAAAACTGAGCCTTTAAATTTTACACTGTAAAACTGACCTGCTCAGTGCGCATTCAGAGGAGGTTTGAGCTTTGTGTGCAGGCGTTGATTTTTCCGGCTTGTTGTACGGCGTCAGATTCGCATGTGCCACCCTAAAGGTACAGAGTGTGAGAGCACAAACAAGCCGCCACTGGTTGTTTTTGTATCTTTTACTCACAAATGAATGGCTCTCGTCAAAACTATGTAGTAGTGTGGTGCAGTCTCATCTGGGGCATAAACATGGGAGGTAAAGCGTTTCGGTCCATCACTTTGTAATTTTTGTACGATTAAAATGTAAAAGAGCACCATTGTTGTATTCATGCTAATTGTGCCCTGCAGTGTACACCAAGACGGCATGTTTGTGTTTTAATTCACCACCTGGCGCCATCGGTTTTGCCCGACTCGGCGATAGCGGAGGAGATCAAAGCACCACGCAGCTGACATGGAGATGACCAAATTAATTCTGTTGGTGTGATTTTTGTCGTATTTGAATTGTTGTATCTATGTTTGCGAGTGACACGCACGCTGGTCGACGGATTTCGCAGAATCCCTGATGAACAAGACGAACCGGGACAAAACGCTGGACGACGATGACACCGAAGAAGACAGCGACGAGAACGACAACAAAGAGGAGGGTTCGGGGGACCGGGCGCAGGAGTTTTGAGCTTCTATGCGGCCCAGGAGCTTTTGTAGTTTTCCCCGTTTCTTCCAGTGCAATAGGCAGAGAGAGCGGGAGAGCGCAAGGCTACGCTAACCGTAGAAGTCGTCCCGAGAGCGTCACAGTCGTCTTAGCAGCGGACACTCCTCCCCTCCCTCCACCATTCCCAACAGCACTGGTGGGTTGAGTAACGCATTTTGATTGGTCCCCACACTTCAAGCCCGTGTGTTTCGTTTTTCGCGCCGATAACAGTCGCACTTTGGCGGCGTCGTTCATTCTCGATTGTGATCTTTCTTTTCGGAGAAAAACAAAAACAAGCACCTCCTCATTTTGTGGAACAGAGGACACAACAAAATCCAAGTCTTCCATTTAAGTTAAGTGCCATCTTTTACTTGTTTGTTGGTTTTATCTTGTGCTGTGTTACACATTGCCCTTGTTCCTTGGTTGTTGGGTGAAGCTGCCATGGTTTGACGGTTGTGGACTCAAATCCTTCTTTTTTGCCAAAAGCGCGTGCAAAGCTCTGCGAGGCGAGCTCGTGTGATATGGCATAGCTCAATATTATTAAGATTAGGATAATGCTATGTAGAATACCTGTCAGGTGAAATATAAAAAAAAAGAAAAAAAAGCAAGAATTCTACATTGTACTACTCTGTGAACAAAACATCATCCATCCAGAGAGATTTCCACAGTACGGCATAAAACATTTGGCCCTGTGTGAACTCGTGCTATGAGCCACTTTCCACTTGGCTGCACAATAACCATCCTAACGCCTCGTTTTAATGTTTACCTGTGTTGCTTTGGCTCACATCCGTAGAACTATGGCAGCTCATTTTTGTATTTTTTATTGTTTCTCATCCACATTCCATTTGAATTGTCCTCCAGACGAAAAGGCCGACCTCTGCTGTTGGCAACCACAGAGACTCGGTTGCCGAGGTTTTTACGTTGTGTTGGTGAGTGTTGTGATAAGCGACCGAGGTATATTTCGACGTGCATACATACCATATTTAATCTCTATGGCCTCCCTCCGTGTGTGCCATCTCTAATGTTATATGTTTTAGCACTTGTTACATATCTCCCTTACACGTAGACAAAAAACAAAGAGAAAAAGTAAAAAAAAAAGAAAGCCATAGCTATTGTTTTACAGACGTCGGTCTCCCCGAATCCTTACGACGACGACAAGGCATTACGAAGCATTGCGTGCATTTGCACGGGCGTGCTCTTCTCTTCGTGAAAGGAGCTCGTGTATTCACTTTTATATATGTCTTAGGTAGGGATTCATCATGTCTGGTCCCTTCAGATGTACAAACATTTAGTAGTGCAATCCACCGATACCGGTTCCTTTTTGTGTCGAGCTATTTGTGCGTTTGGTTACGGTGCCATATATTGTACCCTAGTGTAAGCCGAGCGACGGCGCAACCGGGCGTAATGGAAAGTTTCTACGTAACCGAGAGCAGCGGTGCACGACAACCTAATAGCGGCACCAGCCGCATTAATTATATTTACTCTGCTACTCCGGGTTACAAGTTCATCCAAGGTCACAAGCTTATATGACCGTGTAGTACTGCTTTCTGTACAACGCTGTACTATGGGCCTGCTTACGAAGAATCAATAAAGAAGTGCACAACTGTAATTCGAAAAAGTTTTCCATGGTTTCAAGTTGCAGGCAATAGTGGTGGAGCTGCCTGTCTAGAGAAAATGAACATGAAATGGGTAAATTGTTTATTTCAGTATATATTCAAAATATAGGCCACTCTGAACAACTGGCAACAAAAATAGTCGACGCTTGTTTTCGTGGGAGCCCTCAGAAATTCACCACAGTGCGAATGCTGCAAGAAATAAGACCAGCGGGAATGTGATGTATGTAGCACAAACATCTCTTAATGTCGTAAACCCCGGCAAATTTGATATTATGAAAACTATCTATCGCACAAAAGGAGATTGACATCCTTTTGGTCCATGCCGGGGACATGTGTAGAAAATTAATATACAGTAGTTTGGAATAATTGGGTCATTCATTATTATTGAGTAATTAACTTCTCTAATTATTAAACATAAGGGCATGGTTTAAATTAAAAACTTGCTGGGCATCATCGAAAACCATTAAACCAACCAATGCCAGAAAGATATGCCAAGGCTCGGGCATTGTTCCACAACGTTAAAAAGCAAAAAGAACTTAATTTGTACGCATTTCTAGGTTTCGGTTTCCTATCGAAGCGCATCTTTGCGCCAACGGTCGTGCCTTGCTGTTGCCGAGATGCGCCGCTAGTAGGAAGGAAGGAACCGCAGTGCACGTGCGCAAGACACCTTGACAATGATGGGCAGACCGCTGGTGCAAAGATGCGCTCGCTAGGCTAGGTGGCGCAAGCTACTGCCCTTTATAAAGGATATAGCCGTTAACATTCATCCATCCAACCATCCATCCATAGCTGAAGTGTCATTACTTTGAAGCGTGGCTGATTTGGTGTCTCTGGCAAGACGTCCGTTACCCCCACTCACCAGGTGCCACACTGCATGAGGGTGAAGGCGTCGTTGATCTTGTCTATGGGCAGCCTGTGGGTGATGAACTCGTCCAGTTTGATCGTGCCCTTCAGGTACAGCTCCACAAGCTGGGGAACCTGGTCCACACTCTTCCAGCCTAAGAAACACGCACAAAGGGACCGCCATCGTTACGTTTGACGCTCTCGTTGTGTCTGCTGCATTGAGACATTTGTTTGCCCCGCACGTAGCTGCGACTCGAAAAGGGAAGAAAAGCAACTCGTACCGTAAAATTCAACGCGAGTTCCACCAACTGACATTAAACGATCGGCCAACCAGCGTACGCCACTCCTGGTGCAGCGCGGTGCATACGCAACGCTCGTAGTTGGGATCGTGAGCCCGATTTGCCTATCACTGAATATCGGCCGACGGAACTGACATTAAATTTTAACGTGTGGCAGGGCGCGTAAGAATGCTCGTTTTAAATAGTTCGGAGACACGACACAACCCCGGCATAAACGCTAAAAGTCTCGAAAAGACTTGCTTCTTGTGCTGTGCATCATCTTTTGCTTTTGCTTACCTGCAGTGTCGGGGGTTGTGTTACATCTAATCTCAACCGGCTCGTTTGTGCACCGATGTACTGTTCGAAAGTCCTCGTTTGGTTAACAAGGGCGCTACTCTACGGTAGCATACACCTCTATCTAGCTCTTCCGACCGCTCGAGTCGGCCACGGCAATGCTGCACGCACCTCCGAAAGCGCAGCCACGCCACACGCGTCCCGTGACCAGCTGGAAGGGGCGGGTCGAGATCTCCTGGCCGGTGCCAGCCACTCCGAGGATCACGGACTCCCCCCAGCCCTTGTGACACGACTCCAGGGCAGCCCTCTGCAGTGGCACAGACACAATGCGGGGTCACGCGACAACGTGGGGAAGAAACACCTCCAGTGTCGTGCTCGGGTGCTGGACCACCGAGCAAATGTTTAAGCTAATACACTCCTGCAGAGATTCAGCTTGACAACTTTGGTCGCTATCATCGTAGTCTATTGGGGGACAAAAGTTTGGAGCAAATCTTTAAAAGGAGGGGCAGAAAGGTTACTAGGCTGTGGCACAAGTTACCGCCTGATATAAAAAAAAAAAGCCAATAGCATCCATGAGTTGTGCCATACTAATGAGGTGGCCAATGAAGGCAGAGGTTGATAACTAATTGGGTTCCATCGATCTGTTTGGCATGCATGAGGCCCCCTGATGTAATGAGTTTTATCGAGGGCTTTTTTTTAGGTCAACGCTTTGTACAGACGGGCTGTTTCCTTTTCATTGTTAAAACTGGAGCGAACAAAAACAAAACTGCATGGCAAAAAAAAAAAGAAAAACCATTTGCCACTGAGACACGAAAGGGACGATGCTCAACGAAATACATTTTTATTGCTACTAGTGATGGAGTGAAACTTTTTCCGAAACAGGCTTCGGAAGAACGGCCATACCACGGTGTGTTTCGGATAGGCTTGGGCAGTTTCGGAGCGTTGCCAGAGTGGCCAGACCACACTATTGATTGCAACATTTTTGACAAAATAATCTTGTAAACCACATTAACTCTTTCCTGATTACGAGAAAAGTAGCAGTTTTCAAGGCATTTGTGCAAAGCACTGCAAACGCTTTTATTTTCTTAACTAACTTGAGTATGGGGAAATCTGACACATCAAAATGTAGCCAACTAATTGTTCTTTGAAGAAGAAGAGAGGTTGGTATAATGTGGAAAAAGGATGTTAAAATTTTATTTCTTGAAAATACAATGTATGTGTAGAAGGCGTATAAATGCCGAAACTTCTACAGCTGTGTCAAATTAAACGACAAGAAAATTTCCGAATATACATTTCCGAACTTAGCGGAAAAAATTCCCCGCTAAATTTAGCGGGGAATTTTTTCCGCTAAGTTTAGCGGAAAATGTTCCCCTAAATGGGAGCGAGCAGGAGAGGAGGAGGGGCATAGCCCTCTCTGTACCTTCCCCTCCTCCTCCTCAACAGCTGCGCTCTAATTCATCGTTACAGGGAGTTGTAAACGGCTTTCATTTTTTGTCTGCCTTGTTGGGAGCATAAAAAGTGCACACCAGCTCAGGAGAGCACTGAAAATTATAGTGATGCTTACCAACAAACATCTGTTAAGCGACGCCTATAACATCATTTAAAATGTGCCCAGAACTTTTGAGGTCTTAAAAGTATGCTACAATATATTTGAATTATGTAAATAATATCATTTTTGTTACAAAGACATGCAAGCAGTTAGGTAGTCATGCTAGACAAATGCAACCATCGCTCCCAGGACTATTTTTGACAACCCACCAGCTTGTGATAAACCTCAAACCCATGTTAAAACAAAAACTAGAGTTCTTTGGCTATCCACGAGATTGTGGATGATAATTTTTCGCACTAAATTTAATTTCTTGACAGCGCTTAGAAACCATCGATCACCGGTGATCGATGGCATATGTGCACGGTCAGAAAAGAGTTAAATTAAAATATCAAATATAAACACTTAATACTACAAAATAGGCTTGGATCAGATCATATTTGAGATACAGAGAAATAAAATAACACGACGCAAAATGTTGAGATTTTGTGCCGGTCAAAATGGTTTCGATTTCACCATTTCCAGAGCCGCATCAAAGCGGGCTCTACTGACGTCTAACCCTTGGTTAGCTCAGTTCGTAAGCGCTCCACTGGAGATGGAGAGGTCCCGGGTTCAATACCCAAACCAGGCGGATTTTTTCAGTAGCGCACCAGTCACCTAGCTGTGTTTGGAGACTTGTGTTTGTCTTTTGTCCCTCTTGTTCCACTTCTCCAGGGATTATTTTCGTCATTCTTGTCCAGCCCTTGCACCTTTGCATTTAATTGTATTATAACCGAATGATGAGCATGGGTTGTCGAGACATTGCTGCGTAACACACGCTCTTGCCCAACCGTGGAGGAATAGCTCCATTGAGTGTGCTTCTCACCGAGCACCTGTGCACTGCGGGGAAGCAATGGGCGCGTTAAGTTAGTGAGCTCCAGACTCCGGACATCTGCGCTCGAGCGTGCGGGTTCGGAGCGTAGCTTAACGGCGCACTTTAGTACCGAGGCGCCATCCGACGCCTATTTTTTTAACGTTTCCGGTTCCGGCGGTTCCGGCTTTCTGGTGCGCGTAAACATGGCTCCCGTCTCGTCGAAACTGCAGTATATCGAAACGTCAAAAAAGTGTTTCTTCGACGACGAGTTCGATGAAATAAGTGCGCGGAGACGGCGGCAACAGCAAGAGCTTGTATTTGTGCTGCACGCTGTTGGTGCGGCGATTAAAGTACGCCGAACGCCCCCTGAATTCCCAAAAGCCTTAAAGAATGACGGCTGAATGGCCGAATTCATTGGCTCGCCTGATCGTGAAATTGCGGTAAGGTACATGAAGAACTTCGACAAGCATTTGAAGGATGTATGCATACCTTTCTACACCAGCACCATGCTTTTTTTTATTTTCCACGATGACGGAACGATTGCACGAGCTGCCAAGCGATCGCCGTCGAAGTATCCACGCATCCAATAAACGGCTCTGCACGCATCCAAGCAGGCGTGACTTGCGCGTCCGAGGGAGTCCCTAAAGGCTTCGGCGCAAGCACGAACGATGCCGAGAGCTCCGAGCACTGCATGGCAGCGCAGAACGAGCAGCTCCTACCCACGACCGGGCCGACCTCGGTGCCGTTCCTGGCTAGGCCGGAGCCTTTGGGCCGCGGGGTTCAGTTGGTGCGGCCGCGGTCGGCGAGATTTGGCGAGGCGAGCGCGGTGGCATCCTCGGAGCGTTCAGAAGCGAACTCGCTCGCCAAGGATTGCGCACACCCGACGCCTCCGGTCCAGAGTGTCCCGGCGGCCCGGCCCAGAGCCCAAAACGCTTGGGGTTTTGATGTTTCTTTCGTCCCGTGCGAGACCACCGCGTGAAACCACCTCCAGGAACCGCGAGACTGGCCGCGAGAGCGGAAACGTCGTCATTACACCGGAAACCAACCTGTTCGAGCTCTCGCGCACCATCTCCGACGACGGAGCTCGCGGAGCGCGCTCCGCCACCGTGCACCGGAAGTGAGACAATGTCGTTTAGTTTAGCTCGAGTGCACTCTGACCGCTGGAGCGCGCTCGAGCGCGTTAACTTAACGCGCCCAATGCCCGCGAGCGTTGCGGGTATTGCTTTCCCGCAGTGCACATGTGCCCGGAGAGAAGCACACTCAAAGGGAGTTAACTCACTGCAATTAACACTTCGAAAAGTATGAATATTGCAGTTCATCTCGAAGCGAATATCAAACAGCATATTATTAATGCGAAAGCATTAACTGTCCCGTAGAGCGAAGCCGGCATTGTTTGTAGCAGCAAAAACGGCACCTAAATTTCCATTGGCTGCGACACGTCATGTGGCTCCATAGCAACGGCGTCATCGTTGCTAAGGAGCCAGCCAAACTACTGGCAGCGCAGCGGGAGGGGGGGATGCAGGTATGCGCTGGTCTAACGTTAGGCATATCATTACGCTTTGACGTCTAACGTCACTAACCGGTACGCGCAGCTGTTAGACGCGAGGGGGGGACGCAGGTATGTGCTGGCCTTATGTTAGGCCTAACGGTACGCTTTGAGGTCGAATGTAGTCAACCGATACCCGCAGCTAGGGCGACGATGATGAGAGGACACGTGATTTCAGCACGCACCGCGCCGAGCTTCGCACTCCCGCCGCTGGTTCACCCAGCGGCACAGCAGTCACCAGCGAGCCAGGACGGTCTGCGCGGCGCACTCCCTGCCGGCGCCGTGGCCGCTTCTGCTACTCTCGGCGCCGAGTATGCTTTCACATTCATAACTCGTAAGAGGTGCTTGGGTATCCTCGCAATTTTTTTCGAATATTCGCACAACACTACAATTTAGCATACTAGTGTATCGTCTACTGCTGATTACATATCTGCAATTATGTTCTAAAAGGCTTTGCTAGATCCAAAGCTATTTGGAAACAATGACTATTATTAGAGGCATTTATTATGGAACTTCACAGCGTCTTCTCAAGAACATCAAATGAAACACATACGGCTGTAATGCCAAAGACCGTTTTTAGCCAGTGGCACTTCATTCCCACGACATCCCGCAGCATTGAAATATGTCACGGCTCATAAACTTCCAGATGTCACATTCCTTTATGGTGAATTACATTCCAAACAATAATGATACAGCAAAACAAGTGGCATCACCAAATAGTTCTATTTAGCACAAATCCAACGTCCATAAAAAAAACTGTCAGCCTATCCACTCTGGTGAAGGAGGAAGACCAGCGAAGCTGTACTATGGTGGGAATGAAGTAATTATAAATGTAAGGATTAAGGTGTGATTGGGCAATTGGTTATTTGAACGATTAAAGAATCAAACATATCTATAAAGATCCGGGGTTGTTGTTTATTTTGTAGCCACAGTGACCATGGCCTTGTGTTCGCTGTGGTACACCGCCATTAGGTGTACGCTGACGGCAGGCACGTTCTTCGTGAAGACAAGGTCTATACACGTCCAATGCCTGGTCGTGGGCACCGTAGGTTCATTCACACACGCAAGCCCGAAGCGCTCGAACATAAACGAAGTGAACCACTTTCCCTCCTGGCGTGCAATGTCAACGTTAAAGTCACCCGTCACTACGGCAGACGTGTCATCGCCGAGCATGACCTAGCTGAAGACGTCCATCATGAATGCTGCAATGTCTCTCTTGGGCGTTGCAGGGGGGACGTACACAATGGCGACTACCGGACCATCGTGCACCTTGACGGAAAGGCTGGAAAGGTTGCCGCCATCTATGAGCGACGGTGGCGACCAGATTGCTTGTCTGGTTGCCGCCGTCGCTCATAGATGGCGGAAGCTGTCCAGAGTTATATGTAGACATTTGTTTGGTACCGGACACGAAACTCAGAAAACTAGCCCTGAACAGCTTCGCTGTAAAATGGCATTTCAAAACCCTCCCAAGTTTCAAGATTCAGACTTCACTAGACGTTTCGTTTTCGGAGGAGACCGTGTATGTCCACACTGGGCGAACTCACCATGGTTCCGACGTTTCCGATGCACTCGAAGGTGAAGTCAAGGCCGCCGTCCGTCTTTTCGGTCAGGTGCTGAACCAGAGGCAGTTGCAGGTTGTTTGGGTTCAAACACTCGGTGCAGCCAAACTCCTCAGCTGCATTACGGCAACAACAAAATACCAACACCTGTGAGATTTTCAATGTGAACCCTGTGGGTCAGGGCCTTTATTTATTTATTTTTTTTAATTATTCACACTGAGAAAAGCTAAACCATTTTCTGCTCAGAAAACGCCACAGAATACACATGTGTCGTCATTTCTGCCTCCTCTTTATTGTTGGAACCAGAGTATCGAACCAGAACACAGCCGAAAACCCGAACCTAACCGTTATTTTCAGCTGAACCGGAACTGAACTGAAATCTTCGCTGCCATCATGGAACTAAACCGGAAAAAAATATAACGGTAACCAACTAAACTTTTTTGGAGGTCTTTTTTTTTTTTTTTTTACCTTTTTTTTTGTATTACAAAATGAATATTTGAAAATAAAAAATTGGCAGCTGTATCTTTATGTATTGATCATGCATAAGGAGCTTCGCCCCTAAAACATATTGTGTTGTAAAGGTTCCTCCTTCCCACATTTACAACACACACCAGAAAGCGTGGCCCCAGAAACTACCTTGATTGCAAATACACTCTAGCCAGAAGAGTGTTTTCGTGGTGCCAGACGCCCGACGACACTGCACCAAACAAGAATAATTTGTGTCTCAAATACATGGCTTGCACTGAGCACAAACCTTCTGCAGCGCGCATTTTGCACCACTGGATTTAATTTTCTGAGCAAGAACCAATTGCGACGACATCCAGCAAATAGTGCGACGACGTCAAGTGCAAGCCAAGGGAAGCAGTTCAGTTTCCTGGTGAAATGCAATGTTTGCAACACTAGCAAGTAGACGTCAAAATTGTAAAGCTGGGCACTACATATAGAAGTCTTGCGATGATATACGACAGCCTAATGAAATGTTAGAGCGCATGACTGATAAAGCACAGCGTTGTAAAATGAGGGGCCTAAACAAGTGCACGTAAAACCGAATATAACATTAGCCTCCCGAGGCACTTCGCAATGTTTCGAGTTAATGCAAGCCGATGCCCAATGTGATTTATGTTAGGATTACAAGAATCTGTGTCTGTTCTTCGTGCTATGTCTGTGTAATTAGAAATATCATTACGCCTCTGTATTTCATTGTGCAGTAAGGCATTGTGTATCAGATTCTTTTGAATAATACCATTTATTATCACTTTCTTGACATTTCGTGTATTTGCATTCAGATCTATCATGTGAGCACAAAGCCCTTTTGGCATACCCCGCGACACGGTGTTTCACACTGCCAAACAATGAAAAAAAAAAAAAATGTTTCTACAGACTGGTTTTTACAGGCATATTTTCGAGTATCCTCCTCCCATGTTGGTCACAAGCGGTTTTGCGAATTTCATACAGTCACATTTAATGATGATAATAAAAGCATATTCAATTACTGGCTGAAGATTTGACAACATATATATAAAGGGTAAATTATAATAAAGATATACAACATAAGTAAGTGTACCCCCAAATTATCTGAAAAAGGCTCTGCAAATCTTTTCTGACGTTTTTATGTGTACAAGTGATTTGAAAGAACTTCAAACGCATTTATGATTTTGAAGCTGATTTTAATAACTATGTGTTCCTGACACACACAACTTCTAAAACATATAGCTTTCTTATTACCTCTTTTTTGTGAGGGGGCGCGTGGCGGAACTATCGACGATTACGCACGTAGTGATCGGCCCACCTGTGCAATACCTAGACATTACGTCGCCCGAAAAACGGCTTCACACATTTCTCAGAATAGTGTGTACGTAAACATGGCATTTTATTTGTGAAAAATGCTTTTATCCAAATTTGGAAGCAGAAAATCTTCTCCAAGTCAGTTTATTTTAAAAACTGTGTTATCTACTTGGAGTTTTATTTTTCACATATTCTAGCACATTCTAGCAGCCAAGTAGGTGCCACACACATTTTATTAGCCAGCCGAGATCGGGAAAAGCCGGTGATTGCACATTTGGGCTAGCTGCGTCTTGTTTACTCCATAGTCGAAATCGTCAGAATAACACAAACCAGAGTCTCAGCACTCCAATAAAAGAACAACAGCGTTCCAGTTACCCGGTAGAGTTCCCGGTTTTCCGAGTTTATTTCTCGCACGATTTGAAAAACTAAGTCCGAGTTCATTGTAGTTTATTTTGTATGGGTGCCACACCAGCATATAAAGTCTGCGAAAATATTTACATCAATAAACCGGTGGGGTCACACAAAATCAAGCAAAAGTGTGACAGATCGAATGAAAGAAATATTTTCTTGGTTTGCTCCAGCCTTTTCGATTCCATACCTCAAAAATGCAGCACTATCGTAAAGACTGCCTGCATTCCTCTCACCTCTAACTCCGAACAATCACCAAAATTATCAGCACTTATTCCTTTTTCCACACCAATCCAATGAGAAAAAATTGGCAGCGACTTTTATCTTCAAAGTCGTACAATGTGTGAAATGCAGCATTTAAGGAGAGATTGTTTAAAACTGTTTAGAAGACACTAAACAGTCGTTTATAACTTTAGTGGCAAACCTGAATTGGTGTGTAGTTTGAGACGTTGATTTCCCTCCCAAATTTAGCTGAGAAACTGAATAGGTCACGTGACGTCAACTTCCTCGCTGGCAAAACTGAGTTGACGTTAAGCTCATGTGACGTCGATTTCTCCGCTAAATTTAGCGAGGAAATGCAAGGACGGATGGACAGACAATATTTCGGGATTGGGGGTACCATTAAAAAGCATTCCACGCCTTTAGAAACATTCACCTTACATTTACATAGCGAGGTCTTTTTTCTTTTCTATTTTGTGAATACACCTAAGTCATGAAGCGGGAGAACCATTACCCTTGGAGAACTTGCTCGGGTTGATGTCGATGCCGATGATGGTCTTGCAGCCGCGCTCCTTGGCGCCCATGGCCACCGCCAGGCCCACAGCTCCGAGGCCCCAGATGGCCACCGTGCTGTCCTTGGTGAGCTTGACGACATTCAAGGCCGCCCCGTAGCCGGTGGACACGGCACAGCCCAGGAGGCAAACCTTGTCTAAGGGTGCAGACGGGTTTATCTGCAACGAGAAAGACATCAGATTACGCTTGGAAGAAACACAGTTAGCACCAAATACCAAGCATGCACCTAGGTCATACTAAGTGCCCACCTGCTACTTTCGATTCGTCTGAAAACAAAACACAGGAGGTATCATATCAAGTGCCCACCCCAGACTTCCGGGCCCACCTAGCTAACCAATGTGCACCTGCTATTCAATTACTTCTCTGAGCACAATGCACAAAGCAGTGAAGTGTATTGTCACTGATAGCTTGTGCCATTAACCTAACGAGAAAGATACCAGATACTTGGGTCAGCGAAGGAAGTGCGACCGTCTCGAAGCAGCATGTTACCTCTGCTCTTATACAGGGTGTGCAAGATATTTGAGCATACAACTTGAGAGTGAATGACTTCTCATACATGTACTACATTTGTCTAGACATTTGACCTTGCCTTTGGCTGTGTCTATGTCATCTACTTAGTATATTAATTTCAAAGTTGCACCTTTCGGTTCCACAGAAAAATTAAAAGGCCACCTTCTGGTCGCCGACCACAGAAATTTGGATATAGCCACCTTCTTCCATGTGTCAAGGTCTTTCGTTTTCAAGGTCGGGGAAACAGCTTTTGGATTTTGACAGGCACGTTGCATCCGTGGCCAAGCTAAAAAAAACACATCCCCAGAGGTCACGTGTTGTCAGGACGCCCGAGCTTGTCCAGCTGGTGCAGGACATTGTGAACGACAACCCCAGCAAGTCAACGAGGGCCAATGCCAAGCAGCTCGAGGTGGCAGGGTCCATTATCAGGCTTGTGGTGCACGAGGATCTTGGGTACCAGTTGTACGTGATGAGGGGAGGGCAGTTTATGTCCAAAAAAAAAAACAAAAAAAAACAACAAGGAAAATCGTGTCATCTAGTCCAAGTGCTTGTTGAACAAATTCAAGCACCCTAAGGAACCGGGAGTGCTTTTTTTTGTTTTTTTTTTCAGAGACAAAAACTTTGGCTAAGACCAAAAGGTCAACAGGAGCCCCAGTGAGGTGCCTACAGTCATGCAGACAATGTTTCAGTCATCTGCGATGGTCCTAGCCATTGTGAACAAAGAGGGTCACATCATGCCGCCGCGCTTGTTTCAACAAGGCCTTGGGGTCAACTCGAAGCCTTACAAGGAGACATTGGCACTGTGGTAAAAACATGGGTAGAAGAAGTGGACCAGGGGAGGCCATATATTTTTCAATAGGACTCTGCTCTATGCCACACAACCCATAATTGGCTTGCTGACAACCTCAATGACACGACTACGTCACCGCCAACAAGTGGCATCCTAACTCTCGACACGACCCTGTCACCCCCAACAAGTGGCATCCTAACTCTCTAGTTGAAAACCCCCTGTACTATTATGTCTGGGGCGTCGTCGAGAGAAAGAGACCACCAATGTGGACGCTATGGCCAACATAAATGAGGACCACTTGATCGAGGCACACAGCCGTTTTCGAAGTTTGTCGAGTCAGTCATTGCCGCCGAAAATGGTTTTATCGAATGAAGTATAGGAGAGCATGAACAGAAAACAGTATGTGTACCTAATTCCGTGCAAATAAAGCGTGCCTGAAGTCACCAGGCTCAATTCAAAATGGGCCGTAAAAATTGGTGCCTGCACGTAACAATCTAAATGTTTCGTCAAAGGTTTATTTCACACATCTGTTTTATCACACAAAATTGCAAAGCGTAGCTTCCTCTCTGTAAAATATAGGGCCAGAAAACTTGCCAGGGTCAATAGCTGGCAGCAATGCAGACGACCAAGTCAAGTGGCAGGGCGTGTTTGGTGCTCATATTGATAGACGGTGCTACTTCCTTATTCCGGCTTGCTTTTAAAAAAATATTTAAAGTGCCCGCGTCGACCATGGCCTAATAGTATCAACATATTCCTTCAGTAATATATTTTTAGAATAAAAAAAAAAAAAATGTGGTTGCATAACGATGGCGCTTTTGCTGCCGACGGATTTTGTCTGCGTATAGTCTGCTTTCTTTCACTAGTTGGTTACACCCTCTGACGCTGCTCCAGACACCTTTTTTTGTCATGGTTAGTGGGAAAACACCCACAATGCATCACCTGACCGTCCAAGAGAGGGCACAGGTAGTCCTTTGGTTTACAGAAACCAGGAGCACGAGGCAAGTGCGCTTGAAGTTTTGAGCCAGTTTGCGTAGGCGTCCACCCACCCGTCGGACTGTCATGTGCTGGGTAAACCGATTCAACACGGAGAACACTGTGGAGACCAGGCAGCGAGCACTCGGAGAGAGGTCGCCGCAGCAGAACAATTGTCACACCGTGCTTGCGGCATTTGCATTCAACCCACGGCTGTCTGTGCAACGAGTCGCAAGACAGTTTGGTATCAGTAAAGATTTCGTCTGGAGGGTGATTTGCCAGCAAATGCATCCGTTCAAGCCACAGGTCCTGTTCGAGCTGCAGCCAGATGACTATGAACGGCGAAAGCAGTTCTGCGTGGATGAACTCGGGCGCATCTCCACAAACAGGAACCACCTCCAGTTTCGGTTTTTACGGATGAAGCTATTTTCCATGTGGATGGGCACATCAATAAACAGAACACCTGCTGCTGGTCCAAGAAAACCCTCACTGGACCATAGAAGAAGCTGTCCAGTCACCAAAGGTCGTAATATGGTTTTGACTTTGGAGGGAAGGCCATTGTCGGTCCATTCTTCTTTGATGGCACTGTCATCGGCGATGCCTACCTTCGCAAGCTCTAACAGAACGTCTTGCCGGAGCTGGAAGCTTTGCACATGCAAAGGGAGGTGTGCACCTTCCAGCACGATGGAGCATCCCCGCACTATGTCACAGCAGTGAGGGACTGTCTTGACAGGACCTTTCCCGGCAACTGGAAGAGTCGAGGGCCACCGACAATGCCCTGGCCCCCACAGTCCCCTCCCATGATCTGACAATTTGCGATTATTTTGTTTGGTGTTTCTAAAAAGTCCAGGTCTAGACAATTCACGAGTGCACGATGATGGAACTCTAAAAAAGCAGATTATATCTGCTTTCAATGCAATCACGGACAACATGCGGGAGGCAGCCTTCAGGGATTACGAGTGAAGACTGCACAAGTGCCTCCTAGTTCAAGGCGGACAGGTTGACTGAAGAGCATATATCTAACCATTTTTTTACATTTGGCCAGCGCCTTTGACAACCGCGAAAACCACGGGTTTCTATTTACAGGCTCTTTTCAGAGTCATTGATTGCTGTTTATTTGGAGTTTGCTTTCATAGCCTCCCATGCCTCAAAAGTGCAGTCCAAGTAGCGCCAAGAGTGATGCGTTGTGGCTGTTTTCCCACCAACCGTGACAAAAAAGGTCTTGGGAGCAGCATCTGAGGGTGTAACCGTCCAGCGAAAGAAAGCAGATGACATGCAGACGAAATCCGTCGGCAGCAAGAGCGCCATCGGCGCCATTCTTAGGCAAGATACATTACAAAAAGATTATGTTGATATTAATAGACCACAGTCGATGCGGGCACTTTCAACATTTTTCTAAAAGCAAGCTGGAACAAGGAGGTAGCACCATCTATCAATACGAGTGCCAAACGCGCCCCATCACTTGACTTGGTCATCTGAGTCGCTGCTCACCGTTGACCCTGGCAAGTTCTTGGCCCCATTTTTAACAGAAAGGGAGCTATGCTTTGTAATTTTACAAGAAAAACCGACCTGAAGAATATACCTTTGATGAAAAGTTTAGATTGCTGCATGCAGGCGTCGATTTTTACGGTCCATTTTAGATCGAGCCTGGTGACTTGGGACACCCTATAGACCTTTCCAGCAGCAGTCTTGACTGAAGCGATTTACAGCGCACATCTCTGGTTTTGAGAGTGTATGTCAATGTTGCCCAACTGCGCTGGGCTGTGGCAGGCTGCGTAGTCGCAATTCCGGATGCTGGTGGCGGCTAGATTGCTGCATTTTATTTTTTATTTGTGTTCTATGGCGAGTAGAATTTCTCCAGGATTTTAAGAAAGCATTGTACTATTTTTGGGAAGAAAAACAAACAAATGAAAGCTATTTTTGTGAGTCCGTGCACGACAGAACAAATGCAACTTGAATGTGGCTTTCATTTTACGTTGACTATTTTTTTTACGGCACCATACACTCAGTCGTGTCAATCTACTAAGGTCTTAACTGTTGAAAATATTTGACCCCACAGGATAGCCGAACTGCATGTGCATTCCCCGCTCACAAAATGAAATTTAACGAGTCTCATCAATCGAACAACATATTGTACGCACCCCACAATGCCACGTTATCCGAACAGGATTTGAGAAAGGTCTCGAATAACACAGCATATCCAATATTCAGTATTGACGATAGTCACTTCACGACAATCGGACGTAATCCGGCTTGTTTTAGGGCGCGTTTTGAAGAGAACTGCTTTTTTGCACAGCACCAAAGCAAACGGATGAATCTGTCTATTCCGTACCCATACCCCGGACACTATCAGCTATTTTTTGGGAAGGCCGGGAGCATAGCTGGGAAGGCATTTGGGAGATTGACTCAACGAAAAAATCCTAAAAAAAACGCCGAACGGCCCGTGTCGCGGGCTGCTTGACGTATGCTCTCTTTGTTTGTTTCCTGCGAACGCCGAGCAGGCTACGAGCCCTGGTACGTATTCCTTGTTTCTTACAGTGGGAGATAACGCAAAAAAAGTAGCATCCTCAACAGGCAAATAAAGTAAAAACTTCCAAGAAAAGCCAGCGAACTTCGAATGCACAATGCAGGCGGGGAATCACGCTAATCAGGTTTCCACAGCTCAGGTGGGTGTCAGAAATTTCTGGCAGGTAGGGGTCGCTCGAGTCGCAAAATGGCGGCCACCAGGGAGCTCTTTTTGCAAAGGTCTATAAAAACGTGCGATTGTCATTTCTGAACACGATTGGTATATTTCAAATTTCGTTGAAGTATATCCCTTTAACCTGCCACCGACAATAGATATTTAATGCTGATGATATTTGGTTCAACTTTCTGCCTCCTGCACAGTCTCCTTTTTTCTTAAGCTTTGATAAGTTTTATATTTTGAATATTCGTTGACCCTGGCAAGTTTTCTGGCCCCATTTCTTACAGAAAGGGAGCTACGCTTTGTAAATTTGCATAAAACCAACCTGTGAATCACCTCCGACGAAAAGTTTAGATTTTTACACGCAGGTGTCGATTTTTACGATCCATTTTAGATTGAGCCTGGTGACCTTAGCCACCCTGCATATTAATATTTCGTTGAAACATTTTTTTAATGTGAAAGCATTACTTATCCCATAGAGCAAAGTCAGCAACACCTGTAACTAAAAAAAAAAAAGCTAATAGGTGCTTATTTTTTCATTGGCTGAGCAAAACGGCTCCTAGATAGCCATTGGCAGCCGCTTCACAAGCGCGCATGCTCGGCCGTCGGCGGCGGCCGCAACCTTGGCAGTAGCGAAACGTGGCTGTCCACACTAGTACACCGCAGACGAACTAAGGGAGCAGAAGAATGACATTCATGCTTTCGCATTCACAACAAGTGCTTAAGCGTCCTTGGAATTTTTTTTTTTTTTTTTTTTTTTTTTGCTGGAACTTTTTGTTTTTGAATTTCTCGCACACCCCGCACAGGCAGTACGTTCAGGAACGTTCTGAATCAGAATGCATGACGACAGTTGAGAATGGGCTGGAACTTTCTCCAGAAGAACATTGATCGATAAAAGAAAAGAACCAGGCCAAGCAAGGTTTAAACCCCTTTCCTCCACGTGGCAGCCGCGTGCGTTGGCAACTCCACCACGCACAAAGCAATATCCTATCAGTGCCCCTCTGCACTTCTGATTTTGGACCTACTAAGTACCCATTCCCAGTTTTTAAAGATTATCTCCCAATTTCGGGTGGGGCTTAGCTCGGCATTTGACGATAGGTAGTGTTCACTGGCTGCCATAGCCGAGTCTGTTACCCGTTGAGCTCACGCCGAAGTGAGCTTCTGCAGGGCACACTCCACGCCATCGAAGCCAACGTTCTCGGCAGACAAGGGGTGGGAGCCCACTTCGACTGTGCGCTGCAAACAACGAGCTGTGATGGCATCCAGTAACCATGACCTATTTCCAAGAGCCACAAAAACAAGAAGGGCGGTTTTAAGTAGATACAACGAATTAGAGCGTGCTGGTAAGTTGGCAGGATAAGAGGATAGTGACATAAAGAATGAAGTCTTTGTCCTTTAGGCCACTCTTCTTTTGTCCCATAAGTAGACAATTTTTTAAATGACAATGCCCAACCGGTGCCAGCTGCATTGTCGACAAACAACACAACGCTCTGTCGACGGCCACGCTATGACTATTGAGCGACTGCACGTAACGCCGCACACGTGCAAAAGCTCAACACTCTGCAAATGTCACGTTTCTGTGCACACTTGCGTGCAGAAGAGGCTCCCCGAGGTCACACACTCGCACACGTGTCCTCAACACTGCACGAAATTTGGGGTGCTAATTCACAAGCAATGTCATCAATCCATCCGTCATCATATAAAAAAAGAATGGCTCGGTTTGATGCTGAAGTTGCGCCACTCCATCAGTAAAGTTAAATGACAAAGTTTCCAGACCTTGCAGAGCGATATTTCGGCAACCACGGTGTATTCGCTGAAGGTGCTCACGCCCATGAAGTGGAAGATCTTGCGGCCCTGACAGGTGAAGCGCGTCGTTCCGTCAGGCATGAGTCCACGGCCCTGGGTGCTCCTAAGGATGGGTCGGGAAACAAATTATAGCTGAAAGTCCTGTAGGAAGGCTATTGCAGACTCTGCTGCACTTGGGAACATACAACGGTGCCAACCTCTGCAGTTCAGGGAAGGAGGCAGGCCAGTCATGAAGTACCAAGAACTCTGTGCATAAAACTGCAGTTCGCATGCAAAAGCGCCGCTCCCAACGTCCAAGTACAAGTAGCTTTTTTTTTCTTCTGTTTTTTAATGAATGTTTGCTTTATTTAGTTATTCACCAGATTTCTCTCGTAAATTGCAATGACTGGCTCGCATACGCACCATGGAAAAGTAGGTGTACAGGATCCGTTTCTAAAAACATCCCATTTAGTTAATTTGATGATAGCACTACTTTTCCAGGTCACAGAATAGATGTATAACCACACTTGTTTTTTTATGCACTTCAAAATTTGAGTAGTAACAGTACTATAGTATTAAGCTCACCTTGGCAACAGAAGATCTCAGAATAGGCGTATAACCACACATTTTTTTTTTATGCACTTCAGAATATAGTAGTAGTTGTATAGTAATAGGCTGATCATGGCAACAGAAGATATTTTACCCACAAAATACACTGCTTTAAACTTTAAAAAAAAAACTTGTATTTTAGAAATTTTATGGAATTTCTTTCCCTCTGCTGACACTGTTAATAGTGGATGCCAATAAAATTATTATTCTAAGTGAAGTTGCCTCTTCAACGCTCTTTTGATGTAGGGGTGGGGGGAGGTGGGGTGGGATGGGGGATGACAACAGACAAACCTGATTTTTGAGCAGAGGTTTGTGCGGGGATGCTTGCAAAATTTGCAGTCCTTGCACTGGGGTATGTACAGAGGGATCACATGGTCTCCTAAAAAGCACAGAGGACCCAGTTAAAACAAGTAAGGCCGAATGGACAAATCCCTGTAGCATGCCCGAGGCTTTACAGTTGACTGCAACATGATTAGTGATGGTGCAAAACTTTTTCCGAAACAAGTATCTGACCCGAAATGGGGGTTTCGGAAAGTTTCGAAAGAACGGCTGAGCCTCAGTGGGTTTCGGAAAAGTTTGAATAGTTTTGAAGCGTTGCCAGAATGGTTACACCATATTATTGAGAATCGCAACTTTTGTGACAAAACATTAATTTTATAAATTACATTAAATTATTAAAATTTTAAATATAAATATTTAATTTAACCAAATAGGCTTGTTTAGATCAAACTTGAGATACGAAGAAATAAATAACAGACAACACGACACGAAATATTGAGATTTTGTGTTGTTGGTCAAAATGGCTTCGATTTCACAACTTCCAGTCAAGTCGTCATGTGACCAAAACAAAGCAGGCAAATAGGTGAATTCGATTATCACGAATTGCAACACCTGTTTTCATTGCATCAAAAGCTCGACGATGTGAGTGATGTTCATTCCAAGCGCTGGAAATATTGCAGTTTACGTTGACACAACACAGGTGGCATGTGGGAAGTGACCGTGTCGGAAGATCACACATTTGTTATGCAATCGAGAATATGTGCACATGCTGCCCGAAACCTCCTGTACTGTCTATATGTATCATGGTTATAAGGTATAAACATTGTAGATCTAGGTACAGTTGTTTCGGACAAACTTGATAAGTGTCTCTGCTCATATGTCATACGTACCAGATTTTTTGGACTATAGTCTGCACCTGGCATTTAGTCCGTAGGGGAAATGTGGGATATAAAAGAAATGCTTCTTATTGGATAGTCCGTACCCAGTGTATAATTCGTACCCATGCATTGCCCGCGCGCAAAAACTTCTGTGCCACACAAGAACACCATTAACATACTCTGTCATTCCCAAAATCCGTCGCGTTTCGTCGATGAACGAAAAAAACGAATCCTTAATTGAACAGTCAGCACCTGTAAATAGTCCGAGACCAAAATGTTTGGGAGGCCTACACACTGCACTCCTGACACTTGGACACACACAAGCTACCATAGAGCTTTGCTTACTGAGCTCCTGCCGCCAGACTGACCGCCACTTCCGAGCATGGATCAAGAATGTGTTCGGCGGGTCGACGCGCCCGCAAGCCTCAGCGTGGGATCGTAGGATCCACGAAGACACACTGCAGGCAACCTGGTGTGTATTGCGCCAAAGCAGAAAAAAAACCAAAAGCTGATCTTGAACACTCGCAACACCCACAAATCCAAAAGGAACAACGCCATGTTGGCTAGATAGCAACGAAACTGCCGAACCTTCGAAACAACCGAAATTTCATCCAAAAAGTTTTGGAATGTTCCGAAACCAAACCTCCGCAGTTTCGCCCCATAACTAAACATGATGCAACACTGGAGCTGAGGTATACACGAACTCAACTCTCCTACGTCACGCCGCGGTGGTGGCGCGCCGGACGCACTTCTGGTCTGGGGCGGTGGGCAGAAGTCGCCGAGCCAGACATGCATTCCCGTGTTCCTTTAATAGAAACGAGATAAAAAACTTGCCTTCTCGTCAAAATGCTGCGACGGGGGTTGTACCAAGAGAGTCTGGAAAGGTTTGCAACGCGCATGAGTTTGGAGCGTTCATGCGAATGAATCGCCGCACGTCAAATTATTTACGGAAAGTTGAGCGGCGTAACGAGCCTTGATAATTTCGCTCAGGCGATTAAAGTGGTAAGACATTGCGATGAGGACGTAGAATCGACAATTACAACGCGAAAAAGAGTATGCAGACTCACACAGACGCCCACAACGTGACATTCGAGTGGTTTGTTGACGGAGGACGGGCGGTGCTTCTTGCCCGTACCCCATTACGCATGCGTTCGAAGTGTCGTCTGCTCTTTCAAACTTGGCTGCTTTTTGTCGTTAGCTCGTTCACACGACAGCGGCTCTTAAACCAAACGTTGACCCGGTAATTGCGATAGGAACTAAGTGCAGGCCTCAAAACACTTTTGAAGGTTGGTTGGGGTAAGTAGGCTACGTGTAAACAGATACAAGATGATGTTTATCATTATTGTTACCGGTGGCCGTCACCGACTTGTAATGCCCGATTCTACTTGAGGTTTTCAGTATCGACGTCCACCATCTCAGCTACGGTCCACGCTTTTGCAGTCCGAGCAACGTAGCGTCTGAAAACAGCGAGCAGAATCTCATTGTGGGAGTCAGGCTTTAGCGCCCATTCTGCGGCGTCCACGTGAAATGAATCACCGCACGTCACATTATTCACGCAAAGTTTTGCCTCGTCAGTTTTGCTGAAGCCGCTCAAGTAGTCAGACATTGTTAAGAGGACGTAGCATCAACAATTCCAACGCGAAAACGAGCACGGGGACTCCCAGCGACGCCAACAACAACGCAATTCAATGGTTTGTTTATGGGCGACGGCGGGCTTCTTGCCCACCATCCACCGCGCATGCCCGGCGCCGGTGGCGTCCGCTAGGGGCGCTCCGGTTTGTTTGTAAACATGAGTTGGTGTATACAGGACAGATGAGCTGGTATGGGTTCCTGACGGACACCCATGAGTGAGGAAACTGGCCAAATAGTGGACGAATACAGCTGCAATTTACTAGAAGGCACATGGATGAATGCAAGGATGCTAACGGCTGTACCCTTTATATCGGACGGTAGCTTGCGCCATCTAGCTTGGAATAGAACCACATAGCCACTGTTGCCAGCAATTCTGCAGTTCCCATCTTGTTGGCGACTACGGCAGTTTGATACACTGACAGCTAGATTTATGCTGCCCATCCGAAATGCTTCATTTTGCCATAAACCAGAGCTCTGCCCAGCTCTGTACACACAATTGTGTGGGTGCATAAACGATACTACAATAGTATTGAGGGGACGAGAGGCTCACCGACACCATTAACATCTGGGACAAACTGTGAAAAGTTGCAATGGTAGAAATTATTCACCAATTCCAAGGTCTCACCAGTGCACCACAATGCCAAGCAAAGGGTCAAACTGTCTCCAAATGTGCTTGGGCTGCAATGGGAGGGGGGCTAAAGTCTGAGAGAGCCTCAGAATGTGTGCAATAAATGTGCACATTGATGTAACCCTGTGCTTTTTATGTTTATTTTCTGTCACTAATTTGTTGTTCCATGGTCAACATTTTTTTTTTTTTTTTGTATGTAGGGATTTTAAAGAGACAATGAAGACAATTTTATTTAATTTTTTTTAAATGGTGTTTTCATGCTTCTTGGGAACATAGCATGCTGCCCAATTTTTTTGTAGACATTTGTGACGTGCATTTTTGTGCCTACAAAAGAAGTAAAGAAACCGAAACTGAACAATCTCCATTCTCATTTCTGGGCTTCTGAAAACGGAGGTGACGTAGGGAGCAACGTCAAGTGTGAATAGTCAATATCGGTAGTATTTAGGAGATCGAGACTCTGGTTATCACGGTGGGTTATGGCAGCGCAGTGGCATGGTCGTTTCGTCAAACCTGTCAACATGGACGGCAATGCCACTCACGCGAGCAAGTTCAAGCTTCCGTTCAGTGACCCACACAAACGGAACAAGAGTATGTGTGTGGCGGCCTCCGCCATCATTCGACGGAGACCGCCCAGCCGGTAACGAGCGGCCCGCATGCCGAAGTGCCCATAGTTGCTCGTTGGCCGTTTCGCGTCCGGCGTAGCAACGAAAAAAACAATTATGGAGCTTTATTTACGGTTTAGTAATAATTTCCGGTCCGATTTATACTTTTCATGGTTATTCAAGCGGAAATTAGAACAGTATTTCTAAAAATCGCGAACCAAAACGTGACTGAGGGCATGTCTCTCGTTTCGAACGATCGCTGATGCGTCTCTTGTGACGTCGCGCTTCTTGGCCCCGCATCGGTCACGTGAGCTCCGCATCGGTCACGTGAGCTCCGCTTCTCCTGGCTTCTTCCGCAGCTCACGGGGCGTCGCCCCAGTCGATCCCGGTACGATTATTACCGCGACTGTTTAATTGATTTGCGCGGCACACAAGCGCCAGTTTAGGCTGAAATTTGGGCAATGTGCCCTGAGACGTGCCTGGAACCCAGTTCCATCGCCAAAACGATGTCCGAAATTGCTTTCATTGTCCCCTTTAAAGAAGAACTGTTTGTGCATATCATCAGTGGCACAGCCTGAACCTCTAAGTTGTTTTTTTTTCTCAGTGGCACTCCAGGATATTGTAGTTCCTCATTGCCATTGACCCCTCCCCCCGCCAGTAGTTCTCAAATGGGGATCCATGGACCCTTTAGGGTCCCAGAAGGCCTTCTTAGGTTCTCCAAAGCCCTCGACTGTCTGTCAAGCCGAGCAATGAAACTCTTTTTTTATTGATGCCGGCTGTCCCACAAAGCTAAACGGACCAGACCTTCTGCGCAGAGTGAGTAGGGTCGATTATTCTCCATTTCAGAGCTCCAAAGTTGGTATGCACACATTTAGTTTTCTTCATTTGCCCTTTGGTCATTGTAATCTCTTGCCGATCCAGAAGGAATCCCCCCGACATCAGGGGATGAGAACCAATGTTGCAAGCAAATAAATATATAAAACAAAGCGGAAGCGTCCCTGACCCGGCTGAAACTTGGTGACATTGGGGCCAATGCTCTCAACGATGCCGGCACCCTCGTGGCCCAGGATGCAGGGAAACACCCCCTCAGGGTCAAGGCCATCTAGGGTCGTAGCATCGGTATGGCAGACGCCCGTGTGCAGGACCTGCGAGCAGACGCGGTGGCGCATGTGGCGAAAGGTATGTCCAGAATAGTGATTGTCCACTTCAAGAGCAAATGTGTGCAGCAATTATAAAAGAAAAAACTATTTCATTCGACAAGGAAAGCTACGACACATCTTATTAAAACAGACCAATTAATGTAAACCAATCAATAATAAAGAGGACATCTGAAGAAAATAAATAAATAAGTAATGAATTTTAGCGGTACAGAAAGCTAAGACTAGGACGGACACAAGTACAAGTTATGAAGTGACTGAAATTATTGTCTATGAAACGCATACAAGTCTGCACTAAAGTATATGATGCCCCATCCATGATCCACACGCATATGTGCACCTACTTGAACCGGTTGAGAAAGCAGACCGGTTGAGAAAGCAAACAATTTGAAACCTCAAAAAATGAAGTTACGTCTGCTTAGGTATATGCTTTACTAAAATTCGATACAACTATCAAAAAGACATACTGTATTTTCCGGTGTATAAGTCGCCGTTTTTTTTTTCAGACATTTTTGTTGGTGCGCCTTATACAACAATGCGAGTCATATATGGGTTCTTTCAAAAAGCCTTCACGGTGTGACACCATTTTTTTATGCACCGCGTGCCATCTTTCGTAGAGCATTGTAATTATGTCGCCGCACTCTTCTACTCTTTTCATAAGTGACTCCAAAAGTGAGGCTGGCAAGGCATTTGACGGCTTCCCCGAGGCGGCTCAATGTGGATAGGCAAGGCAGTGAGAATAAAGCTTTTACAGCATGTGATAAATGTTGCCTAATTCAGCCATGGTTTCGCATTCCTTTGCTTCAATCCAGTAACACTGAAAGGTAAGTAGGACGCCGCATAGCAGAAAATTTTCTCATGTCTTTCATAGTTTCTTTTTGATGAGCAGCTTTTATCTGCGATGCTCAGCAGTGTTGCTACATGCAAAAGGAAGGATTGTGGCTAGCTGATCTCTGAGCAGTACCGAAAGAAGTATGTCAAATTGTCAACATTCATCTATGCGCCTGTGCGTTGATGCTTGTGTCGTCTCAGTGACTTGGCCTAGGCCAGGCCCAGTGGTCCAAACCTTGGTTCACGAGTGTCTGGCGTTCGCTCAGCATGTGTACACTTGAACAGAGCCAACTACCTTCTCATTTTGTATATTTTACGTCTTTTTGCTGCGAAACACTTGAATGGCCCCAGAAGACAGCGCTGTGCTATGGGATTTCTCGCGAGTCGAAACGTTGAATTTGCTGCGCGTCAAACGTTACATGTGAACTAGCCGATTGCGTGAAACTACAATTTTGCAATACCAATGCACATAAGAGAAAGTGAAAGCCGTTTACAACTCCCTGTAACGCCGAATTGGAGCACAGCTCTTGAGGAGGAGGAGGGAAGGGTACTGAGGGGAGGGTAGACCCCTCCTCCTCCTCCTCCTCCTCCTCCTCCTCCCCCCCTCATTTTCGAATATGCTCGGGGGGGGGGGGGGGGGGGGGGTCACCTGACCTCGGGGTGACTTTGGTGGGTCGCGTGACCTTGGGGGGGGTCAAGTGACCTCGCGGTTATGCCGACGGCGATGCCAACGCCGCTCAAGCCGGAAACAGGCGCCTAAGAGCTGCGCTTTAAAAAGGTGCGACTAATATACCAACTTTTCTGCAAAAACAGCTCAATATACTGAAGTGCAACTTATACACCAACTCAACTCTCCTACGTCACGCCGCGGTGGTGGCGCGCCGGACGCACTTCCGGTCTGGGGCGGTGGGCAGAAGTCGCCGTGCCAGACATGTATTCCCGTGTTCCTTTGGAAGAAACGACACAAAAAACCTGCCTTCTCGTCAAAATGCTGCGACGGGGGTTGTACCAAGAGAGTCTGGAAAGGTTTGAAGATCAGTTTTCATGTGTTTTTGCCGCCTCCGTTCGTCCGAGAACGTGGATAGTAGCCGTGAAAAGGACAAACCAGACGCTGTCGAACTACGATTGCGTGTGCGGGCAACACCTTGTGGTCGCCAGATGTATTTGCTTTGTTCCAACATGAACGAGAGAAAATCGTCAAGTTGTCCGAACCACCCACGGGTTCAGTGCGTCTTCAAATTCACACGGCCGCCTGATCGTTCGAACTTTCGTCTGCTCTTTCAAACATGTCTGCTTTTTGTCGTCTGCTCGTTCAAACAAAAGCGGCCCGTAGACCAAACTTTGACCCGGTGATTGCAATAAGAAGCAATTGCAGGCCTCAAAAGACTTAAGTAGGCTCGGTGTAAACAGTAGATACAAGATGTTGATCATTGGTACCGGTGGCCATCACCGACTTGTTACGCTTGGTCTGTTCCCGCTTCCGATTTTTAGTATCGACGTCGATCATCGCCGCTACCTTCTACACTTTTGCAACACGAGCGACGTCGCTACCGAAAATAGCTAGAAGAATCTCATCATGGTTTTGGCGTCCATTCTGCGGCGTTCATGCGAATGAATCGCCGCACGTCAAATTATTTACGCAATGCTTAGCGGCGTAACGAGCCTTGATAATTTCGCTTAGGCGATTAAAGTGGTAAGACATTGCGATGAGGACCTAGAATCGACAATTCCAACGCGAAAAAGAGTACGCAGACTCACACAGACGCCGACAACGTGACATTCGAGTGGTTTGTTGACGCGGGACGCGGTGCTTCTTGCCGGTGCCCCATTACGCATGCGTTCGAACTGTCGTCTGCTCTTTCAAAATTGGCTGCTTTTTGTCGTCAGCTCGTTCAAACGACAGCGGCCCGTAAACCAAACGTTGACCCGGTAATTGCGATAAGAACTAAGTGCAGGCCTCAAAACACTTTTGAAGGTTGGTTGGGGTAAGTATATAGGCTAAGTGTAAACAGATACAAGAAGATGTTGATCATTATTGTTACCAGTGGATGCATCACCGACTAGTAATGCCCGATTCTACTTGCGGTTTTCAGTATCGACGTCCACCATCTCAGCTACGGTCCACGCTTTTGCAGTCCAATCAACGTCGCGTCTGAAAACAGCGAGTAGAATCTCATCGTGGGAGTCAGGCTTTAGCGCCTATTCCGCGGCGTCCACGTGAAATGAATCGCCGCACGTCACATTATTCACGCAAAGTTTTGCCTCGTTAGTTTTGCTGAAGCCGCTCAAGTAGTCAGACATTGTTAGGAGGACGTAGAATAAACAATTCCAACGTGAAAAAGAGCACGGGGACTCCCACCGACGCCGACAACAACGCAATTCAATGGTTTGTTTATGGGCGACGGCGGGCTTCTTGCCCACCATCCACCGCGCATGCGCGGCGCCGGTGACGTCCGCTAGGGGCGCGCCGGTTTGTTTGTAAACATGAGTTGGTGTATACAATGAGTGTGACTTATAGTCCAGAAAATATGGTATTTGTGGCTCAAAATAATAGGCTTTTTTTTTTTACACAAGAAAGCTGCCCATCGCATGAGGCTATTTTTCTGTTCTTCAGTCACACGCAACAATGTCACAAAGCTCAAAATATTTTAGAAGCTCCAGGCTGTCTGTTGCAAGTCTTGATTTTCAGAAATATTCGAATCCACAAAATGTAATTTTATGACCACCGAAATGCTCAAAACAGAATAGTAAGGACTTTTAATGCATATTCAAAGGAAGTAAGACAACTCATATATCACTTTTGCAGTATCTGACACCACATTCCTTTCCACTGGATCACCTGATTTCTGGTGGACCTTGTTTGCCTTTCTCAGCCATTACATGACTCTGCTAAAAGATTAATTGGAAGGTTACATGACGCCATAGCCTCAGTCTGTCTGGAGATCGTGGAGCAAATCTATCCCTGGCTGAAGAGCTTGGTGTGGGAGACGTTTGGTCTGTTCAGTGTTGAACAAATGGTTGACATAGTAATGTGCCATTGTTACCAAAGCTTAGATTCGGGGTGTTTGTTCAAAAGACATGGTAGCATGCTGTGCTCACCTCAGAAGGAACTTACCTTAATCCGGACTTCGCCCTGCTTCGGTACGTCTACTTCGACAGTCTCGATTTTTAGGGGCTCCGAGGGTTCCCAGGCAACAGCTGCCTTGCAGTAGATCGGCTGTGCAGGTTATGGGCACAACAGGTGTCAGTGGGACATGAGAGCATCCAGCTGTGCACACACGCCGATGTTAGGCAAGAGCTTATTTGTGCTCATAAGCCAAGGTGCCGCAGTAAGGCACGCACCTGCAAGGCCTCTCTAGAGGGGTGTCAATGTCGGGTGACACGCCATGACGCCGCACTACATAATTAGTGTGAACGGACATCTTTTTCAAGTTTTACTCAACAATGCTATTGTTGAACACTAAACTTTGCAAACCAAGTTGGTTTCGGACACAAGCGCTTCCTACTAGACTAGTTTTGACGACAGCCTTTCAGCTACGAGAGGAAGACGAGGAAAAGAGCCAACAGTGCTATGACCCATACACAATCATGCCACTTACCACGACAGTAAATATCTGCTTCATTAAATTTTTCACTAATCAAAACTTGGCAGTCATATGCAGGAAATGGGTCACGGTTAACTCGCAGCACAAATATGTCACTTTTTCTTTATTTTTAACAAGCTTGAGTTTGCATTTCAAAGCAGATAACAGGGACCTGTGAAAGCAAGCCAAGCTTTTTAAATGCCGCGTCCAGCGTGACAGTTCTGTGGAGTGCCGTGAGAGCTCGCTGAGAGAATAAGCTTTTAATTCCTTGGCTCCTTCGGCGTAGGAAGGACTCCAGTTATGCCGACAAAATTGAGTTGTTCAGTTAAATGTATATTAAATCTGAAATTGTAGTAAATGGCTCTATCCTGTACTAGCCTGGATATTACAAAATGATACTGACAAATTTGTTAATAAAGAATTCCAGCAAGTGAGAAGCAAGTTTCAAATTTTTCTAAATATTCTGCTAATACATTATTTTGTCTACTGATTTTCAACATAACTTCTCTACCAATATTACACACTTGTCATTTTCACGGGAATTGTAACCACATCCTTCTACACGTAAAAATAGCATGTAACTCTTCTACTGCTACTAGAAGAGGGGTAATAGCTTGGTGCTGCTAACAGGAGTGAAGAGAATAGGATAGATAAATATTTATTTGCACTCTAAAGGGAAAAGGGATGCTGAGCCAAAATTTGGATTTCGCAAAATAAGGCCATAGAAGCGTTGAACGAGATGCTATGAACTCCAAAACATCACTCATACATCGATATCTGAAACGGATGGTCGTATTTTTAGAAGAGAAGGGCACGATCAATCGAGGAATATGATGTCACGATTCTCTTTGAACAGCTAAGAATGAGTGGAAGAGGCCTCACTTCTCTGCTCCTCGCTTTGGTTCACCAGCTCGAGGGGACGATGCGAAGAGGAGATGGAATAAGAATCATGACGTCACATGTCGCGTTGGCCGTGTTCAATCACGCACTTCTTTAAAAAAAATACAGCCAACCCCCCCCTGGCTATGTGCCTGCCATCTATTGCTTCATCCTTGTTTCGTGAGCTCCAAAATTCGGTTCAGCATCCCTCTAAAGTATGGGCCAGATACAAGACGTTGCCGCTACACAAGTGCCCATATGGCCAGTTAGATTATGCCTAATCATGAATGGCCAGAACGCTGCACACCGCGACTTCAGTAAATCCCCTTGGCCCAGTACTTTAGAGCAGTGATTTAACCAGAACCCCCTCCTCCTCCTCCTCCCCCCCCCTCTCCCCCCCCCCCCCCCCCCCCCAAGTTGAGCCCGACACCACTCCAGAATTTTCTGCGCAAAGCACGTACAACGCTATATCCCCCTTCCCCACACTCCCCCTACAGCCCCCCAGGGCCCCAACAATTCGCCCCCAAGGTTGAAAATACTAGATAAACCCGGTGTTGATGTCGCTGGCCTGTAATAAGGCGGAGCCTCCTGAGGGGGCGGTTCACCGAATGATACATTGCAAAACGCCAAACCAGGGAGTACAAGGAGACATGGGATGGGCATCATTTGAGAGCAGGGAAGCGGTGAGCAAGGTAGAATTTGAGGATAGGTTGAGGCAAATGGACGGGGAGCAGTGGGCACGAAAGGTTTTCAGCTATTTATACATGAGGAGTGTAGACACAAAGTGGAGACAGCGCACTAGGAAATTAAGAGGAAAGTTTTTGGGCTATAGCGAAGATACGGAAGAGCAAGTCTCAGTTAAGAAGAAAGTTAAGGCCACAGAAAGAGATTGGTGGCTAGAGGGAATGCAGACAAAGACGGCTCTGGAAAGCTATAGATTAAACAAAAGAGTTATTGCCAAAGAAAGCATTTATGACAATTCTAGGGGAAGCTCATTGCTGTTTGAGGCAAGAACGGGTGTTCTGCGAACCAGAACATACAGAGTGAAGTACCAGGAAATTGATACAGTGTGCACTGCTTGTGGAGAGGAGGACGAGACGGCTGAACACTTGATACTCTACTGTAAAGGGCTTCACCCTATGCCTACCGAAGACAACATAGATTTAATAAAGTCATTGGGTTTTAGAGACAGCGAAGGGAGAGTGGATTTCAAATCTGTAGAGATTACCAAGCAAAGATTAAGTGAATGGTGGCAGAAATCGAGAGAAAACTAGGTATTTTCTTATCCACTGATGGCAAGGGGGTTTCATAGCCTCACTTTCTTTGCACTGCGGTGTGAATATAGATTTCACATTTAAATATTCTAAGCTTAAATGGTAAAACAAAATGGCTAGGTGGCGTAAGCTACCGCCCGATCCAAAGGGCTCAGCCGTATTCATCCATACTTTAGCGAATAGTTGGGCGCCGCGAAGCGGCGTTCACGTGTGGGCCAATACACATACACATGTGGGTTCACATTTTTTGTAATGAGCCGCCTCAGACTGTCGCCGCGAAGCGGCGTAAAGCGCAGCGCGGCGGGTGGGTTAACGCGCGCCCCCGTTATTGCCCCGGAGGCTCCGCCTTATTACAGGCCAGCGACATCAATACCGATAAACCCTTCCTTGAGAACACAACACAGTGGCTCGCTTATCGTGAATGCCTCTAGAGGGTTTGTCCGATCACGCCCATTTTACGCGGTAAAAATAGGGCTTCATAAAAATATTAGCGCGAAAGTCCGTCTTCTACTGTTTGAGGCGAAGGCGGGACTCTAGAGGTGTTCAACCAACTAAGTCACCAACTTAGTTTGTTAAAAATAGGGCTATCAAGTTACCATAAAACGGATATATAAAAAAAAAAAAAAAAAAAAAAAAAAAAAAAGGCGTCGCGACGGGCAGAGATTGTCGTTTTTATCCACTTTTGTATCAAGTAGTTGGCTTCGAGCATGACTTTCCTTATCGTTGGCCGGGGCCATCTAATAAACATAGTCTCGGCCATTGCAGCTACCTAAAGTAAGCGGGACTTCATAGGCGCGAGTGAGCTTGCAAATAGGATGCTTAGTTCGCGATCAAGGGATTAGATCCCAAGGCAAGCAAAGAGGAAATACGTCCAACAGCTGTCAAGCTCAAGTTTAGTGCTTGAGGACTGCCAGCCTACGAGTTACCGCTCCGCATGCTCTCGGTGCTTTAAAAACGTACTTACCATGCCTTGCGTGGCGTCGATGGGATCCATAGACATGTTTCCGGTGTAGAAGAGAAAGTCGGCGACAGATAATTAATTATGCGTAAGCCCTTGTCCGCTCTCTCCGTTGCTTCAAATTGCCAAAACGCCAAACCGCTGACCGGTTCAACCAGCTGAACCACTGCGAACTGAACCGATTGGATTGGATTGGATTTGGGGCTAACCCCTTTGTATCGGGGGATCTCAGCAGCGCTGGATCTAGCCTGGCTAGTAGCTACACTACTAGGCTACTACTTTTTTTATAGCCAAAAACGTAGTTGTGTTCTTTTGCTCTCCTCCACCAACACTCCAGTCTCCTCTTTGTCACCTCCACTGGCTGCGAGCTATCGGCGTCGTACTGTTCGTCAACGCCCCGGAAACCCAGCGCCACCGCCATGCCATGTCTGGTTCGTACGTCACGTCCGGCTTTATACCCGTGCATTCCAGTATGACGTGTTCCGCCGTCTCGTCTGCTCCCTGCGCGCACATGACGCACTTCACTTCCATGTCCATGTACTTCGCGCGGAAAACGCGGGTCCGCAGCATGCCGCCTCGGGCGTCCGAAAGCAGTGCACTGCCCTTGCTGTTGTCCATGAAAGGTATTCGCTTCACCTCCTGTTTCTCTCTGGCATACAGGGCCAGCGCTGGTTTCAGACGTGCCGCTTCCGCCCATCGCCGCGTCTCGCTCTCGATCACCCTCGTGCGGATGCTCTGCTGCAGTTCCGGCTGCTCCGCGGCTGGGTAGAGGAGTGGGCCGTTGACCTTGTATCGCTGTGCCAGCTGGCGCGTCCGTCGCACCCACCGGGTTGGGACGGACCGAAGATGTACATACTTGAAGACCTGTCTGGCCCAGCGCTCTTCGCTCATCTGGCTGAGGCGTCGCTCGAAGTCCAGCTTGGCTCGGGCCTCCCTGGCCTCAAAACCGGACCAGCCCATGTCTCCTTGGACGGCTTCGTTCGGTGCTGTTCGGCTTGCTCCCAGTGCCGACCTTCCCACCTCCCTCTGACGGACCTCGAGGTATTGCCTGGTACCTGATGACAGGCACAACACTGAGTTGCCAAAAGTGAGCCCCGGCACCGCCACCATCTTCCAGACCGCTCGGGTTACCTCGTATCGGTTATATCCCCAGAGGGCCCTGGCCGTTGCTATGCCCTTGTTCTTCCTGCTCTTCGCCTTGACCTTCGTCTCGTGCTCTAGGAGGTAGTGGTGTCCCTTCTGTAGGTTTACACCCAGATATTTGTAGTGGTCCACCCAAGGTACAGGATTGGCTTGAATGGACAGGTTGGCGGTCCCGTTTTCCTCTGCTGCCCCAAAGGCCATCAGCCCAGATTTGTGCGAACTGAAACTAAGCCCCAGGGCCTCTCCCATTGCAGCACACTCGTTCATGAGCCCCTGCAGGCCCTGCAGCGAGTCCGCCATCAGCACCATATCGTCGGCGTAGATGAGTCCCGGGAGTTTTCCTCCCTTCCTTTCCCCGCCTTCCGAATATTCCAGTGAGAAACCCTCCCCACTCTCCTGCAGCCGCTTTTCGATTCCTGCTATGTACAGCATAAACAATAGCGGCGACAGCGGGCAGCCCTGTCTCAAGCCCTTGGAGCAGGTCACTGGATGTGTTGTCTCCTGCTGCCACTGTGCCACCACCGTCGTCCCTCTGTACACTTCTCGCAAGAGGTCTATCCAATCTCTGCAGAGTCCCCGCTCTTCCAGCTGCGTCCACAGTTTTCGACGTTCGACCGTGTCGTAAGCCTTACTGATATCGAGAAAACAGAGGTAAAGGGGGCGGTTCTCCTTCTGGGCAATCTCGATGGCCTGCGTCAGCACGAATAAATTGTCCTCAAGGCGTCTCCCCCACCGGAAACCATTCTGCAGCTCCCCCAGGACTCCTTCTGCCTCTGCCCATGTCTGCAGTCGGTCTCGTATTATTTGTGTGAACACGCGGTAGAGTACCGATGTGATGGCTATGGGGCGGTAGTTTCCGAGCGTTGACTTTTGCCCTTTTCCCTTGTAGATGAGTCTGAGTCTTGAGGTTCGCCACTCCTCCGGCACCCATCCCTCCTTCAGGATCTGGTTGAGGATCTCGCGCAGCAGTGCTCTCGTCTCTGGCCCCAGCTCCTTCACCAGCCTCATTGGGATTTCGTCCATTCCAGTGGCTGTGGTTCCTCCTATCCTCTTGACTGCTCTATTTAACTCCCTCTCCGTGATTTCCTCTCTGCTCGGTTGCTCCTGCAGTTCGTCCTCCGTCTTCCCCTCCTCACTGTCCATTTGTCGGCTGTCCCCTGTGAACATGTCCCCTATCCACCTCTCAATGTACCGGTTGGTCTCTCCAGGGTCCAGTTCCTTTCCCGTTGCATCGTCTTTGATTACAGCATCCTCCCTGGGTCGACCTGTTTGGCCCTGTACATGTCGCCAGAACTTCAGTGGGGCCTCACGTCCTGCCTCTCTCAGTTCTTCCAAAAATCTCTTATCTACCTTGGCCATTTTGCTTTGAATCAAAGCTGTCACCTCTATTTTCCTGCTCTGGTACTCCCTCCATTCTCTTGAATCTTTCTGCAGGGGGGCTTTCTTCTCCTCCTTTCGTTTTCTGATGGTCCCTCGCAGAGTCCTGTTTGCCAGTTGCCTTCTTGTAATGGCCTCCTTCACCTCCACATCCCACCATCGTTTTCTCCTCCGCTTCCCTCGTGTCGGTCGTTTCAGTTTTTCCAGGTGGTCCTTCCACCACCGCATGAGGTTCCCGTACGTCTCCACCTGCCTGGTTTCCACCTCTTCCTCCAGTTTCTGCGCAATGGTTTGTGCTTCTGCTTGCGTTATGTGGTGTGGTCTCATAGCTTCGCTGACTCTCTTTTCCGTCGGCTTTCCTCCGAAAGTGATCAGCAATCTGTTGTGATCACTTCCCAAGCTCTTGTCGCCTTCCTCGTCTATCTCCATGTAGTTCAGTTTTTCATACAGGTCCGGGGACACCAGGCAATAATCGATTGTAGAGCTCATCCCTCTGGCCGTCCATGTCGTCTTTCCTATGCATTTATCTTGTGTGTTGACGATTACCATATCCAGATGTTCCGCCATGTCCTGCAGCAGCTTTCCATTACCGTCTGTTCTCCCATCAAACTCCTCTAGGTGTGCGTTGAAATCGCCTACCATAATGGTAGGTCTCCCAATGTTGTGATAGTCTTTTTCAATGCACTTGATTAGCTTGATGTTTGTCTCCCTGCTGTCTGCCCCCGTCCACAGGTACACCACTGCCACCTTTCTCCCCGCCAGTGTCCCCGTCAACCACATGTGCTCTCTGCACTCTGGACTTTCTCTCTGCCAGCCTGGCCCGCTAAAGCATCCTACCCCCCCTCCCCTTCTCTCACTGTCCTTTCTGTTTACCCCATCCCAAAAAAGCCCTTCGCAATCCGGGGGTCTTTCTTCATCTCTGAGGTGGGTTTCTGTGACTGCGAACATTCCAATCTTATCATCTTGTAACATCTGAAAGGCCTCTTCCCATTTTCCTGCTTTCCTTCCTCCCTGTAGGTTTAAAAAGGCAATCTTCACTTCCCTCTTTTTCTTTTTTGCTCGTCTGTTTTTCCTTCTTTCCCGGTCTGGTGCCTTTTTGTGTTTTCCGCCTCTCGTGTTTTTGCAGGCACCATCCCTCCTCCACTTTTGTATCAAGTAGTTGGCTTCGAGCATGACTTTCCTTATCGTTGGCCGGGGCCATCTAATAAACATAGTCTCGGCCATTGCAGCTACCTAAAGTAAGCGGGACTTCATAGGCGCGAGTGAGCTTGCAAATAGGATGCTTAGTTCGCGATCAAGGGATTAGATCCCAAGGCAAGCAAAGAGGAAATGCGTCCAACAGCTGTCAAGCTCAAGTTTAGTGCTTGAGGACTGCCAGCCTACGAGTTACCGCTCCGCATGCTCTCGGTGCTTTAAAAACGTACTTACCATGCCTTGCGTGGCGTCGATGGGATCCATAGACATGTTTCCGGTGTAGAAGAGAAAGTCGGCGACAGATAATTAATTATGCGTAAGCCCTTGTCCGCTCTCTCCGTTGCTTCAAATTGCCAAAACGCCAAACCGCCGACCGGTTCAACCAGCTGAACCACTGCGAACTGAACTGACTGAACTACTGATCCAGTTGAACTGATGATGATAAATGGAGCGCAGTTAGATGATTGGTTGGATAGATGGCTAGATAAATGTTAATTGCTATGCTTTTTGTATTAGGCGGTAGCTTATGCCACCTAGCCTAATTCTAAAAAGATAAACATGATTCCTCTCGCCCGCCTCCCACCTCTGCTCCCACCCTTCCCTAACTATTATATCACCAGGCACTGTGGGTGGGATATTACCAAGATGACCTTTGGGGGATCAGGCAAAAAAAAACTAAAAAAATTACTTCCCACTTTTTCCCTCCGGCGAAGGATTTGGCAATTTTCCTCTGGTCAAACCTTGACGGCGTTACCAGCACCGGACCCACTAAGAAACAGGGTTAAAGGGGGGGTTGCAACGATTTTATGATTAAAAGAATTTGCATCTCGTCATTTTTACTTTGTTTATTGTGTCCCGGAGAATAGAGAAAACATCTCTTTCATTAGAAAATGTCGTGATTCCGCTGCATAATCGCAAAGCAAAAGTCGAGCTTTTCCCCCGTTTCCCCCACCTGCAGCCGCAAGTGGCAGTCGAAGGAACTACGGCGAAAATAGTACGTGACTTCGCTCGACTCTAAGCTGCAGCATAACACCCGCTAATGTCAGCAGAGAGGGGAAGAGAAAGCGGCCTCTGAGAGAGCACACGGGAAGCTACACGGCACTCCGAATGACGTCATTAGGAGTGCGACTAGGTGTGACCCTGAAGACTGGGAGTTGAGGTGTGCCCAAAATGCCAATATTTATCGTTTTTTTACGCAACAACTAGGACACGCAGGTGAAAACGGGTTTCTATTCTTTACTTCAGAAGTGTCAGAGGGCAACTTCCACAAATTTTTGACCTAAGTCCGTAAATCATTGCCGCCCCCCCCCCCCCCCCCCCCCCCCCCCCCCCCCCCCCTCTTTTAAGACTGCTGGGCTGCTGTAGTCGAGACTTTGGGCCGTGCCACGTGGGAGGGAATCCCAATTTTCCTCTGTCCCGCCTGTCCCCAGCTGTGCAAGTTAGTTGTGCATAATTCAAATTTTCCTAGATAACTTCCACCAATCCTTCTAATCACCTCTTCGTGACTGTAATTCTTTTCTCTTCCGTCCTTCCATCGTCGCCAGCAAAACCCAGGGCCTTGGCCAAATCTGTTACCCCTTCAGGGAAGGCAGGGCGCAGCTCCCGCTGTACTTCGAAACCAAGTGCTCCAGTGTCTCGCTCTCATCATATGGCAGGCAGCACATAATGTGTCAGTCTCCTGGAATTTAGTTCTATACGTCACCGTCCTCAAGACTACCGTTCTCGCCTCAAACAGTAAAGAACTTCCCAGTAAATTGTCAAACACAATTTCCTTTCTTATGTCTTGTTTGTGACCTGTACATTGTTAGGGCTGATTTTTCCTGCATTCTTACCTCCCATATTTTGCTTTCTGCCTCTTTCACTCCCTTTTCCACTGAAGTAGCCCGCTCAGTACCATCAGTGTGTATTTAAATTGAAGCTTTCAAATTGGTTTGTCCAATTAGTGTTTCAACTTTTCATGCATAAATACTTCAATGCCGTGCCCACCGCATATCATCCATTTTGGTCAACCTGGTAGGTATAGGTGGTAGAACAGAGGACATATACCTAATGGCAATGCAATTAATGCAAAGGTGCAAGCGAGATGGACAGTCACAATAATAATCTTGAGAAGATGGACAAAGGAAAAACACAAATCTCCAAACACAGCTAAGTGACTGGTGCACGACCGAAAGAATCCGCCTGGCCTAATATCGAACCAGGGACTTCTCCATTTCCAGTGGAGACGTCAGTAGAGCAGACGGGTTTTATCAGCTGCCACCAGTCTAATGCCAACAAGGGTGAACGGCCTTCATTTTAAGGTTTAAGGGTGTGATTTTGCAATTGATGCAAAGGTGCAAGCGAGCTGAACAAGAATACAAATCCCTGAAGAAGGGGAACAAAGAACAAACACAAATATCCAAACACTGCTAGGTGACTGGTGTGCGACTGAAAAAATCCGCCTGATGCTGGTATTGAACCAGGGACCTCTCCATTTCCAGTTAAATGCTCTACCAACTGAGCTACCCCGTCAGTAGAGCAAACGGAAGGAGAACAAGGAGTCCTTTGTCCCCCCGTTTCCCTTTTCCAGGGATTATTATCATCAAAAAGATCAGATATATGCACTTTAAATTGGGCAGCAGCATGTGCCACCTAGCTTGTGCGATCACTTCAATGCTGTTTAGTGGATCGGAGCCGGACCGAGCTCCGCGAATGCGTTTTTGTCAAAAGGACCCTGGAATAACACCATTTCCCCTTTTACATTTGTGTTTCTATTACTACAGTAAATGAGCTGTTTTACCATTCATACGCGTCAATAACACTAAATGTCATATAATTTTTACTACAAAAATAAGGACGGTGTGTGGCTTATGTAATAAGCACACGCCACTGCTGCACAGATCTCCAATATTTCTGCGGGCTGTGCCTCGACACAGCCCCTTCATTGCGACACCTGGGCGCGCACCCGCTGGTTAAGAACTGCCGGAAAAGAGAAGCAGCAATCCTTGGTCTGTCCATTCTCCATGATGGACGCCGCGAGGCAATGGATGTTCGCCACGCACCCGAAAAGGGTGTGCGCAAATTTGACGTCGGAAGCGCCCGCGCCGTGCACCATGATCAGCCTGCGACTCACAAAGTCCCCGTGAAGCGAGAACCACCCGCAGGGAACGTACGAGTCCAGCGCCGGCGACCAGACCTCGATGTCGACCCGCAGACTCTCGATGAAACGCAGCTGGACAGGCTCCACCAACCGAAGTCGGAAAGGAATCTTCAGTTCCTTATACCACTGGAGGAGCTCGACTAGAAGCTCCTCGAACGTGTTCTCGAGCTCTGACTCCTTGCATGCCGCGAAAACGCTGGCGCGCTCCGACTGGGCCAGAGAATACAGTCCCGGTAGCAGGGCATCGCAGTGAGCCGCGTAGAAACGACCGAGCGAATAGTAGCAAGCCGGAAGCTTGCCGACTTGGCGACGGGTCATGTAAGCCGCGAACGACTCGAACGACGCGGAGCCCACCAAGTGGTGCTGGTGCCCGCCATTGTGTTCCTTGGACTCGATGACCAAAGTGTGGTCCAGGTCCATTGGGTTCTTGCCGCAGCCTTCGACGACGGTGTCCACTACCCAGTCCGGGCTGCTGACCGGCTCGAAGCCGGCGAGACCGGATAGCTTCTGGTCGAAGTACCGGATCAGGGAGAGTTCGAGCAGCGCAGGGTCCGCTTTGAGGTAGCACAACCGCGGGTGGTCGCGAAACACGATGTCCGAGCCACCGATGTCGACGTGAGATGCCGGCGAAAAGGCGAACTTGGGACGGTTGCCGTACTCCTTGAACAGCGAAGACACGTTGTCCGTCGGGGCTCGGATGAAATTAGGGATCCGGAGGATTGTGGGCACGACATCTTCTTCTTTGGCGTACATGGACTGCTTGACCTCTCGCTCGGTCGTGTAGTGCGAGGACAGTTCGGCTCTTAGTTCGGACTCGGGTTTCTCGGATGCCGACAAGAGTCTGTGGTCAGATAGGATTCTTGTGATCTCCATGATCGCCATCTGCACCCGGTTGAATTCGTTCTTGACGATTCGCAGCGATGGGAGCTGGGTACTCAAGAGCGAAATGTCCAGCGGTATGTTACGTGCTTCTAAGGTTCGTCTGATGGTCGGTATGTCGTTCACAAGCTTGTCGATTTCTAAGTGCGGCAGGACTAAGGCTCGTCTGTTCCTCGCCTCCTTGCCCCGGATGTAGAGAGACGATGTCTTCATGGTCGTGAGCGCTCTGGATAATGCCGCAAGCTGAGCAGAAGCGACCTGGGCCGACCATAACGCCCGTGAACGTAACAAGTTCTGAGAAAGCATGGCTTCTGCTTTGCACTGTACGTCAGCTAAGCGACGGAGGGATATTGTAGCATCACTTCGCGCACTGTAGGGTTTCTCAAAGAAAACAGCAGAAGCAGGTAAACCGGCAAACCACGGAAAGAACCGCACACCGCAGCACAAACGAACAAAACGCTGGTTTCGATTGGATTGGATTGTAATTTGGATTGCCTCATTAATTCACACTGATGGATTTTGTCTATGTTATTTTCTACCGCGTCGGTTATTTTACAGCGCGTGCCGTTTGCGTACGACGTCTGGAACGAATCCTTATTATAAAAAATTTGTCTAAAAATCATGTTCATACTTGATGAAGGCTAGAAAAATCCGATTTCATTTTGTAGTTTGAAGTTTTGGGTTCGGAAGGTTCGGCGAATGCGGTCTTCAGGTGGCGCGGGCGTTCCACAATCGGCAATCATGGCGACCGTGGACATGGAGAATGCGCAAAGCGAGATCTTGCAAAATGTTTGCGGTACCCTAGGATGTGAAAGTTCTGCCAAGTTGCAATGCCCCACTTGTATCAAGCTGGGAATCAAGGGATCTTTCTTCTGCTCCCAGGTCAGACGTGGCCTGGCACTTCGCCTTCCCGAGAATTGGACGCCGCACGTGCGGGAATCTCGCGGCCCGCGTCCGTTCGTGAATGGAAAATTAAGTCTCGGACTAAGATATAATCATTTCCGTCAAGCATAAATAACCTCCATGTTACGCGATGTATTTGCGTTCGTTTTGGAATTGAATAGATAGTCTCACTCTGCCTATATATATATATATATATATTTTTTTTTTTTCTGTAAAAAGAAGGGGGAAAAAAAATAAGGCTATTTTTGTGCCGGTTCCTATTCTTGAGCCGAACGGACGCGCTACCATCTTTGAAAATCAGTGTCAAGTTTTCGTCCGAGTTTAATTTGGCGCATGTTCGTTCGGGTCCTATCAGCGCTACAGGTATTTTGTGTCTTTACGCCGCGCTACAGTCAACAACAAATAATAAATAGACAAAAAAGTTTAAGCAATTAACGCTTGTCCCTGCTTTCCCCTCACAGGCTTGCTTCAAAGGTAGCTGGGACGCTCATAAGCAAGTGCACAAAGATATAAGTAAGTTACAGTTTTGCAAACATTTTTTTTTTTAAATTTATTTCATTACCGGTTTTAATCGTTTTAATACTACATGGCGTGTTTACATGGCGTGTTGCAGAGAATGCCAAGAATGCCGCCGGGTCGATCTTCAACCCGTGGCCGTCATATACCTTCACGGGAAAGCTGAGGCCTTTTCCTTTGGTGTGTATATGCCCATAATCATTAGGTTTAGTCCTTTAAATTAAAGGGATTGTCAGGTAACATTTTTCCTTTCAGAAAACAATGAACTTATATTGTCATTGCTTTTAGGAATATCATCTACTCAGTATCCTAATTTTTAAACCTCCACTGCACAAGTAATTGAATTTTAAACAAAGCCTAACTGCTGAGATCGCACAGCATTTTCGTTGGCAACAGTGGAAGCTCTGACATAACGTCGGGCAAAGGGAGCCACCTCAGCGTTTAACTGTTGTCTGTAAAATAACTTTATTCTAGGAGAGACAACATTTACGGTATTGAGGGAAGCTCAATTCTTCGGCAATCTTCTTTGTATGCACCATAAACCACGTTGATCAAAACCGTGTATACCGCGCATCTGCCCATTCCACATTAAGCACCCATTCCCAAATCTGTAAGATCTGAGAAAATATGCACAGTACATTTATATGTAAAATTGATGACCGGACAAGTGCCCTTCCCCCATTTTTTTGCGATTATCTCCAAAGTTTGAGTGGGCGCTTACCCAGTATTTTACGGTAAGTCAACGCCCGCGACTCTGACGTTACTATGCTTGATGAGACGTCGTGACACGACTAGCCATGCATACTTGCGAAATTTGGCATGAAGTTTCGTATTGGTGTTCATAATTGATTTAATGAATACTGGGGCATCTTTTAATGCAACAAATACCACTCTAGGTGACCAGCACCAGCACAAAAACTTGGTAACTTCCGGATGTCACCGGACAATCCCTTTAATAAATTCTCTCTCTTTTTTTTTATGCTTGAGCATAAAAAGAGGCTTATACTGAAGGAGTAGCGTCTGCATGCCCCTGTGCATTGAGGGAACTGTGGGATAAAAGATGTTGAGGCAAAGTATCCCATAAACTTCTTCACTAGTGTGAGAATTCAGTCAATAAAAGTCATATTATTTCAGTGAAAAATGCCACGTTATCATGGCTATGCCACAGCTGTTGCTTTGTGCGACACTCGAACGTCGCACCAAGCAGAATCGATCCCCTGGAATGGCGCAGCAGCTGAAATCAGGCACGAAAGGCCTTCGGAATTCTGCTTCTTTGCTTTTCTATCGGTTACTATAATAGTACATCTTAAGAATTCAGCATTGTACAATGCACAGGTGAGAGAGAGCACCTGGTTTTGGAAACTAGTTTGTTGCACTAATGCACATTGAAGGCACATTGCCTTCAACACATTTCTAAGAGCTACACTCGTGCAACCTTTGATGACATTGCGCTTAACTTGTGGAAATTGAGTAAAGTTGCATGATTGTAAATGCTCGAATGCAAGAGGTAACGTGAGATTGATTAGCAGTGTGAAGTTGCCCAGGTATGACTTGAACAAATCTGTCTTTGTGCCAGGGTGTTAAAATGTTTAAACAGCCTTATGAATCCTTCAGCACTAAAAATGCCTCGGGGATTTGGTGTTTGTATAATTTTCACATTTTAAATTCAAGGTCGAAAGGAGCAGTTGGGATGGGCTGCATGGTAGGCAAAAAGGCTATGGCTTGCCTCAGAGCCACTGAGGCAACTTAAACTTTTTATACAGAATGGAATATATCATTCTGGTCTGGCTGGACGTAATGTAATTATATGTTGAATACCACATCGACGTCCTGCTGGATTCTCTTTTGTTCTCGGCTAGGCCACAGGGGAAAAGTGTGATTTTGATTGTTGCGTCTTGCAAAAAGCTTGTTTCTGTTTTGTGCATTCTGAGCGTTTTGAAAAGCCATATCTCTCAGCTGGAATTTGCTTGGCAACAAAGCTTACTGTGCTTGTCATGTCCGGAAAATGTTCTCTCTCATCATCCGTTGATATTCAAGACACTAAAGGTGTAAAGTAAATTTGCCTTTTAACCCCTGAACAGACTGGTAAGAAGCTCAGTGCAGATGGATACCTTTCATTTTATCTGGGGAAAACCTAGAACGTAGGCTGATTAATATGAGCAAAGATCACACCGTGTGCATGCTTACATAGTGAATAATTGTTTTTCTTAACATATTATAGTAGAACCAAGGCTGAAGCACATTTGTAACTATTACCAATTTTATCGCTCGCGCACTCAAGATTCATATCAATGGCAAAGCGCTCGCACTATGGTAGCCACTCTAAGGTGAAGCAAGGTGCAGGGAGCCATCAGCTCTCTCCTGCATCTTTCTCAGAATTGCTAACAGCATATGGTTTGCAAGAGACAGATCTGTCTTCGCTAGTTCAATGGCTGTGACAAACAAGCTTAACGCACAGCTGTAGAACAGAAAAGTTATGCAGACAGTTACGGCTGCCAAGAAAACTCAAAAAGGAATCTGGAAGCCTCGGTGTGGCAGTGAGGTTATTATTGAATTGGTTGCAAGACCGGTAATGATCCCATTAGGATGTCGGAGGAGAGTGTGAGAGAGTTATTGGGGAAAGAAAAAAAATTAAAGGCGTTTACAATTTTTTGTATTCCGAAATTAGAACGCAGCTCTTGAGGAGGAGGAGGGGAGGGTAGGGAGGAGAGGGTATGCACCCCTATACCCTCCCCTCCCATTTACCAGGAAATTTAGTGAAAATTTCCCCGCTAAATTTAGTGGGTTAAGTTTCCCCGTCAATGTTAGTGGTTTAAGTTTCCCCGCTAAATTTAGCGGGGAAATTGACATCACATGGACCTCAACACCGATTCAGTTTCTCCGCTAAATTTAGCGGGCAAACTGTGACATTCCATAATGCACCGCGCTCGGTTATGGCGCCGCCGCTCAACCCGAAATTGGGCACCTAAGAGCTGCACTCTAAAAACGGCATCACAATGTGAATGCAAACCGTATGGAGTTCACATTCTTTCAACGCTCTAATCTCCTCTCTCCATTCCTTTTAAACCTTTCACTCTTTCTCCAATAGTCCGTATACAGTTGAAACAGTGTTGATCTAATTGATCTAGTGCTGTGAAGGAGCTAATTCCCTTAGCAAAATGGTGGATACCATTCTGAGGTTTCTGGGCGGCTCCTTTCCAATGGGTTATATCAGGAAGCACACACATACTTTGCCACTCACAACTTACCCCATTCTTTTGCAGTCGCCCAAGCGAGAGGTCCCTGAGCATATAATGCGCCCGGATTACGCAGAGCACCCTGATGGTAAGCTGTGTATTCAGTTGTCTGGATTAGCTTGGCTTGCCTTCTTAAATTAAGAACTATGGGTGCTGCATATATTTAGTCACTCTTCTGTTTTCCCAGCTCTAAAAATAGAGGGTGCTAGTTTTGTAAGTTTGACACAAATCAGTAAAAGTATTCAAATGTACATCATGTGCAGTCAGTAGTGGCAATACTACAGAATTTTTAGTTTGAGATTAAAAACAACTTAGAAGTGACTATGAATATGCTAAGGGTGGCGAGGCGGTAAACATGTTTTTTTCTTGCATCACTCAGTTTCTGTTTTCAAACTAAAAAAAAAAAGTTACTGATTGCTTGACTTATTGACCGCAACTAAAGGTATGTTTTTGTGTTTATTTCTCCTTTATCCTTAACTGGTTGTCAGTAGTAGTGGTGGTGTTTATCTTTGCTGATATCAATATAATATTAGCAATAGTGTTTAAATGTGGAGGACTGTGACACTGCAAAAAGGTCAGCTGATCTTACTGTCAAACGTCTTTATAACTATGAAAATGCCCGTTTAACGAATTAAACTAAGGTCCCGGCCAATCTTCTATCTGTTCAATCTGTTTCTCGGACTTTGCATGCTTCAAAATTGCTTCGTTAAACAGACTCCTGTTTAACGAAGCAATTTTGCTGCCCCATCAAGCAAAAATGACTGGTATTTTGAATTCTTTAGGCGAAAGGGAATCAATTTTACATAAATTGTCGCTCTCAAGTGATGCGCGTAGATAAGAGAAATACTGCGGCAGCGGTGATAGTTGAAGCTGCCGCGGCGCCACATATTCTCGGCTTTGGGTCTAATTAATTTGTTAGCAGCTTTGTTAGCAAGGTTAATTTGTAACCTTGTGTCTAGATAATGCTAAGTGACTACATTGCAGCACAGAAAGCCTGCATGCATCAACATAGTCTTGTAGCGCCATCTAGAGGCAAGGTTGCACACTAAGAAATTATTTAAACCAAAACCACATGGCGTCGAAAACAGCGCCTCCGCCGCGCGCGCTCGTGTATACTTTTATTTTGCTCACGCCGTTGAGTATGTGCCACTCCGCTCCAAGAGGAGTTCTTTTTCTTTTCTGCGCTTTGTCTAGGCAACGCATGCACTAGTTTTCTTATTTTGCATGTACGTCAGCGTGTTTGAAAGGACCTGCGCGAACAAGAGTATATATAAAAAAAGTATTTTCATGGGCAGTCACAACCTCTTTATGCTGCATTGGCATCTGGTTGATTGTGGTGCCAATCTTTTCAGGATCCAAGACTCCCAATCTTGCTCGATCGGAGTCACAAATTGTTGGAGCGATAATATGCAGTTTAGGAAACGTGACCTATGACTCTACCTTCACGCCAAAATCTAAGCGAAGTCAGTTGAGCCGCACAGAAAGAAACGTGCCCCCCTTTTTGTGCCGGACAGATGTGGAAAAGAGCTTGCTTGTGCGCCTCTCCCCATCCTTGCCACGCCGCGCACTGCACTTGTCGCGTGTCGAGTGCGTGGCTGATTCTGCCTTGCTGCCGCACCCACTCCTACACCATCTAGTGAATATACAAGCAACCGAGAGCAGCGCAGCCACTTTAAGAATTTCTTCCAATGACACGTGCCGGCCCAAGTCACTGCCCGATTTAGGAAAGACCAAACTTGCACAGTCAGCGAGCGACTTCGCTGCGTCCTCGGGGATCGATGTTGGTGGTTTAGTGATTGTTGCGGTTCATCTTTTGATGAGTCTGTTAAGCTTTTTGTGTGGAAGTTTGGACAGCATGAAATTAGTCTGCAGCAAAGAGCACCTGGTGTCTCGGCTGTAGATGACAAACTTTGCCAGTGCCGGTGCTGGTGGCACGATTGCTAGCCTGGCGCCTTTAAATTGCATCACGCAATGCTGAGTACACAAACGTGTGCCAATACATTTTTTATTTAGGAAAAAAAAAAAATAAAGTGGTAATTGAGCCTAAGATGCCTGTACAGTGCAGCGCGAGCTTTTCCCCCACGTGCTCCAAGCTGCGATGCGCTCGTAGAACCAGTCAGCGATCCCCCTTTTGGCAGTCGATTGTCAAGCTACAAAACCTCGTTTCTGATGTCACTCATACTATATTTGGTGCAATACTGTTTCCTAAAACGCCTTGAATGCCGTGCAGATATGTCAATATGCAATAGCACAAATTCAGTTTTGCTTGATCAATCTTTTGCGTTCAACTACTTCAACGAAGTTACCTGCACTACGATGAATTTCTCCGGTCCCGCTGACTTTATTATAAAGGCGTCTGACTGTATTGGGGTATGTGTTATATATCTGAGCAGGTATTACTCAACACATGATCAGGGTGATGTTTAGTTTTGCATGTGTGCCACACCTCCTAAGGTCGGGGAAGGGAAATGCTGACAAGGGAAGGCTGCTTCTGTAAACATGTTAAACAGTTGGCGCAGGCTGCCGCCCATTTTAAAGGATTGAGGTGCTGTGCACTTATTCACTTGCCAGTTTAGCACCCTCCCTTTGTCTCATGCACAAAAAGCTACTTCAGTGGCATGTTGCTAAATGCGACAGTATGAATCGGAAAGAAATAGTTATGCATATAAGTTTAACTGCTCCATATCACATTGCTTATAACTTGTCCAGTCTTCAGGTGTTCTTTGGGGTGTTATCAATTTGATAGCAATTTGTTGTAATGCTGTTTTGTTTTCAGGTATTCCTCTTAGTGAGCAGGCTGCAAAGCATTCCTCTGTGATCAAGGTGCTAACTGAGGAGGAAATTGAAGGAGTGACCCTGGCCTCAAAGGCACGTGTCTATTTTAGTTTGTATTGTCATTAGTGCTATGTGATATCTCTGCTTTGTCAGTGAAATGTTGTGCCGGGGGCCGTAGAGTAACGAGTTGGTCACTGATGAACAAAAGCTAAGAACTGCGATCCTTTTAAGCTTTTAAGAATTGAGTTGCTATGAGCAATTTAAAAAGCTGTTACAAAAAGACTGACAAATAATGAACAGAGTCTTGTGAAAATTGTAGCAGACTGACTCTAGTAAGCTTGAGATGCTCGGAGCGTACAGGTTTCGCACGCTTATAACTAACTTAATTGCTTCTGTAAAGAGTAGAAATTATTTGTGGGGCCACAAGCCACAGCAAAATACAACATTTAAATCCTCAAAATCATCAAACCTAGAAATTTACTGCATGTGCAGCCCTCTGGTATTTTATGTAGCCAGCTTAGTAGGGTACGTTGTTGGGCTAGTTGGTTCATCTTAGTAAAACATATAAAATAGCGCAACAGAAAGGCAAGGACAAGAAGTATGCAGGACAGGTGCTAACTTTCAACTAGAATTTTCCTGAATAAAACTATACTCCGTTTCACCTTCCGTCCGAGCACAGCGGACGCTAGGAGCCATCCCAGCCAATGCGGCGTAGAGGGAGTGTCATGCGACCTTGAGCTCCCTGTGTCGCCCCGCCCCACCGGCAGGTCACGCGACTTACTCCCGGCGCTGGATCGGCTGGGATGGCTCGTGGCGTCCACTGCGCTCGGACTGAAGGTGAAACGGAGCATAGTTGAAAGTTAGCGCCTGTCCTGTATACTTCTTGTCCTTGTCTTTCTGTTACGCTATTTTATATGTTTTACTATGTAGCCAGTACTTGCTTAATAAATTCGAATTCCCCTAGTGTACCATTCACTCTGTCTTTCTCTTTCTCTCTTTATGTACATTTCCCATCAATCAGTGTTCTTTCTGTCATTTTTATCATACCTTCCTTGCAAACTTTTTAGCTGGCAAGGGAGGTTCTTGACGTGGCCTTGGGCGCTGCCGAGGTGGGTGTGACGACCGACGAGCTGGACAGACTGGTTCACGAGGTATGTAACGCCCTGTTGCCAAAGCCCACTGTTGCTAGGACTTTGGTGCCTCGGAGCACTTATCCTACCGGTGCGTCTGTTGCGTCTCTGTTCCTCAATTTCGGTCCTGCAACACCACAATCGGGTGACCCCGTGGATCACCGGAATCCCGGAGGTGACGTATCAGCGGAAATAGATACAGCAGGTGCCCATTCTGCTTCAGCTCACTCTGCAACCAGCCAAACGATGAAAGCTCTAGCAGATGTGGGTTGGAACAGCGGAATGGCGATGACACCTGCATCCAGTTGTCATATTTGCTGGCGCTTCGACCACCACCTTCCGGGATTGCAACCACCCGTCACGTTTTCCAGCTGCCCCCAGGGCATGGTGTATTTTGCTCGGGAACAATTTGATGTTAAATGGCCGGCGTGGGATGCTGGATGCATCCGTCGGAGATGCATTCCAAGCACCGTGCCGGGACGCCTGACCCAGGAGGTCATCTAATGGACAATCTTTGTTTCCATGTTTCCAGGCATCCATCGAACGCGACTGCTATCCGTCGCCTCTGAACTACTACAAGTTTCCCAAGTCCTGCTGCACGTATGTGTCTCCTTTAGCAGACTCCCTTTTCCCTGTGCGAGATCTGTGTTCGTCAAAAAACTGGAAGCGTATTTGTGAAACACTCTATTCCCGGGCCCGTCGCAGGTCGGTGAACGAGGTCATTTGCCATGGCATCCCGGACATGAGACCGCTTCAAGATGGAGACCTTTTGAATGGTATGTCGCTGAATGGAAGAACTAAGAATTTTCACCTTGGACGGTTTAGCATGTTGGCATACTAGTAGCTTTAAGTTGGGGGAAATAAGGGAAGGGGGCATCCATAGAGAGTCACTGAAGAAACATACTATGATTCTTAAAATTTTGTAAATTGCCAGTTCCTTTTCGCACATGAATGCAGGCTTGTCTTCAGATTTACCATGTCTCTTTCTTTCCTCACATCCAGGCTGTTGCAATTTTGGTTTCAGCCGAAGTCTGATGGGTCTCTGTTTTTCCTCGGTTGTGTGCAGTGGACATCACGGTGTACCACAACGGCTTTCACGGAGATCTGAACGAGACGGTGTTCATCGGCAACGTGGACAAGACTGCCCGCAAGCTAGTTGAAGTAACACACGAGTGCCTTTCCAAGGCCATTGAGGCTGGTAAGCATGCCTTTTTGTATCTACCAAGCACATTGCACAATAGACCCTTTCCAGAATTCAGACTGGCAACTTTGATCACTATCATCATCTGAAAAATGGCATATGTGCTATTCGCGACTCCAGCGACCTATAGGGGCCGCCACCACCAAACAAACATGGCGGCTGAGTCCAGGTCGCGTCGGCTCGGCCGGGCCGCCTGAACGGGTGGCGCATTGAATTTAACAGGTTTTCTTTTCTTTAATGCCCAATTTTACAGGTATCTGAAATGCGACAGTTAAGTGTAGCCTGTGCACATAAACTTGCAGAGCATAGTTTTGTTTTCCCCGTGTTTTTTGTTCTTTTCATATCAAACTTTCGTATCAGAGATTTTGTTCAAAACCGAAACTATGGGCTCCGGAGAGACGGCAATAGACTCTAATTAGTTTTAATCAGCTAAGGAAAGCGGCGATGCCTACAAAATTGTTCCACCGAGAGTAATCTTCAGCTAACTCGCATGCCTCGACCATGCGACTTATCTGTCCGCAAAATCAAGCTTTTGTGCGTATCCACGTTTAAGAAACTGCTCCAGTCGTCTGCTCAGTCAACAACACAGGCTGCAGTAAAATCACGAAAATTAAGCAAGTGCTTCTTGAGTCAAAGAGTGTGTTAACCCGCTGGCGCCCCACTAAGCAGCTGATACACGTATTTCAATTCATGTCTTAGTAGCAATCGAGAAGTTATTTTGATGAATATACGGGTTATGTATTATATTACTTACTATGGGCCCCACTAAAGCAATATTAGTATATTCTTCGGGTTTAAATATGGGCTTAATTTACTAGCTATGAAGTGAACTGCTGAATAAAAGTATATTTGACAGACAGAGAGATACTATTTAAACTCAGCCAAATGGTAGTAGCCGGTAGCACGGAGACGAATTCGGACAAACTGAAGAGAACCTTCATCGGAGATTTACGCAGAACCTCTCTGCAGTGAACTTGACTTTGAGTACTGGACGGAGAAAATTAGTATTTTTTGTGGCCGGTCAACCTGAACAATGTAAACGTATATTGCAACTGGCTTCGAAGGGGGTATAATATAAATATTGGAGGCGCGATAGGTCATAATGCCGTGACAGCTTCTAACTTTGCGAGACGCGTCCCCCACCTTTTTAAAGCAGACAATTTCCCTCATTAATCGTATGCAGCGAGCAGGTTTTCCGGAATCAAGTAATTGCAAAAACAGTCCAACTCCTTTGTTGTGGTCCAGAGGCTTTCTCGGCGAAAAGCAGCCAAGATGAATAGCCAACGCACCGACCGGCGTGGGTGGCTCAGACTTGAAGCTAATCGAACGCAGCCAAACTCAAGAAAAGCAGCTATCGAACCTTCCCTTTACCTGACTGTAACGTTAGTATTCCCTCCGGTGAAACACCCCGTCTGTCGTCCCCAGTCCACTGTTCTGCATCCTTATAAAGAGACCACTTATCAATTACCAGTAGTCGTAACTTTAAATGTGATTCGAGACAGACAAGAAACCAAAACGTTTTTCCGTGATTCCTCCCCATCCAAGAAATCGAAAGCACGCGACCGTGTGTTGTGGAGTAAACGGGCTTTCAAACACGTGATGGAAGGAAACAATCTACTGAGGCTTCACCAGACTAATGAACAATCAGGCAAACTTAAAAAATTTTCGGACCTTCGTCAAATTACATTGTTCGCCACCGCGCCGACAACTCGTATCCGCGAAAGCCACCAGGGGCGCGGGGCGACCTGGTCCGGCTGGTTCTGGGTTTTCCCGCTTGGTGGCGTCCGTTTTGCTGGAGTCGCGAATACTAATGGCGGCCATCTGTTTAGTGATGAAAGACGCTGAAGATGCTCCTAAGGAGGTGATTCGATGCCTACATATTCTAGATGTTAGTGCGACGTGAAGCAGGAATTGGATGCAAGAGCTGCGTAAGCATTCATTTCTAACTCTGGCCCAGTCAATCTGTTAGTAGCACACACTCCACTTCAAAGCCCCTTGATGTATAGAATTTTATCAAGGCGTCTAGTGGGCTGGCGCTTCATTCTGACTGGTTGGATCTTTTTCGCCATCGACACGGAAAGAGATTTAAAAAGAATTGGTCAGTGACGCGCGCATTCTCATTCACCATTGGCCGCTTTAAGTCGGCGCTCCTTTACTCGTACTCCGACGCTCCGAGTTTCATACTCCGAGCGCAGCAACTAAACGGTGCATATCGTACACGAGCGCGACACACCGAGGCTGCATTCCAAACCTACTCGAATGGATCCGAGTTACTCTGGCGGATTATGTCACGTGACAACAAAAATAGAGAAACGCTGGACGTGGGTAGGTTTTCGATAACCACCTTTACCCTAGAGTTAGATCGAGTAAGTTCTGGAACAGGGCACAGGACCAGAAACCACAGAAACTATCGACGGGCCACACGGGCTCCTTCCGACCATGAATACGGGTGGCAGAAGCCGAAAATATTTCGAAGATAAATTAATTCGGCCCGTGACGAGCGACAGAGTCTAAAGCAAATGAGGCGGCGACGTTATGAAGTTTCTACGAACGTTTTAATATTCCTGAAAGGTTAGAAGACTCGCTTCGTGCACATATGTGGAAGGTTACCTGGCCGATCTATTTATTGACCATGCATGCTGTTCCGATTCAAATTAATTAAAGACAGCATTCTTGAACCCGCTCGTCGACGCAGGACACCCTCAAATTTGTCAGAGGTTCCCTGGTTCCGTCTCGCGGCGAGACAAGCTACGCCGATACCGGCACACCGTCGTTCGATTGCACGTCAATTCGCTTTTAAGCGGTATACATGAACAAGCCTTGCCCGCAACGCTAACTGGTGTTTCGGCTTTCCGATCTAAGTACCTTTATTCGCTACGGCTGGGCTAAGCATCCTAAGCAGGGCAGCCAGCGGTCTGGCTGTCTTTTCATCACAACTTTTCAGTCGCCGAGCTATCGGCACGCTCGTTCAATAGATAATTCGTTTTCAGGCAAGACGCACGAACAAACCTTTTCCTCAACGCTCACTGATGTTTCGGCTGTCAAATCAAAGTATCTTTATTCGCTGGGCTAAGCATTATAAAAGGGACAAAGCGATCCGAATGTCTCCTCATCTCGACAACTTGTCTGTCGCTGTCCAATCGGCACGCTACCTTTTGATAGATGAATTCCTTTTTCAGGCGAGATGCACGAACAAATTTTTTCGGAAGGCTAATTGCTGTCTTGGCTTTCAAATCAAATCCTTTTTATCCGCTGGATTAAGCACTAATCAACTGAAAAGGGGCAGCGGTCCAGCTACGCCTTTTCGTCTCGACGGTCTCAACAGCAGCGCAGCCATCTTGTTTGTTTACGTGACGTCACGGAGCGCAAAGAAGTCACTCGCGCTCCGAAAAATTCTCGGTGCACGAAGAGCGCACTCGAGTGTCAGTCTCCGGTGACACTCCTGTCCGTTTAGTGAAAGGAGCGCCAAACTCTCGCGCTCCGGAGCACGGACTTAACGCGCCCATTGACTTGCGAAAGTGATGGTGCCCCGTGCAGTACTGCAGACCACAGGTTCATCGCCACCATTAGTACGGTAAAAGTCAAGCTGCCATTTGAGTCACCAGATGGCACTGAATTCTGGAAAGGGTCTATAGGTATCTAGATGCACTCAGAACACTTGCCCTAAAGCATAAGCATGGAGAATAGAGACATGAATCTTTTCAAGGTAGAAAAAGTCCACAGAAGTTAGTATAGCTCTGGGAACTTCCCTTCTCTGCATGTCTTAGGGCGCGGGGAGCATCTTGGGAAGGTATGGACCCTGCGCTCGTAGCTTTACGAAATGCTCTTGTCTTTGAGGGTGGAACATTTATTGGGGCGCTCAATTCATCCGGTGCTGACATGTCCAAGGTTAGACTATTAACCAGCAAACTTATCGTAGTACTTGCACTGTGTGGTTTGCCATGAGCCCAAACTTGCACAGGGCTTTTTGTGACAACATGACTTAGAGCAGGGGTCTCTAAACTTTTTGGCTAAAGGGCTGGATTAGCAAACTATTGCAGTCTCAAGGGCCGGAAAAAAAAAAAAAAGTAATTATAAAAGAAAAAAATGTAATATTCAGCAGATTATAAAATTACACTACACTTGTGACCTAGAAAACTCGCCAGCTATAAATCAAGGCACGATGGAACTTTGTGGCACATTCACTCAGTGCAAAGGACTAATGAGAATGATAAATCTAATGCTGACAATATGCAATAGTTATGACAGGGGTGAGAGGACACTAAGTATGATGTGCATGAGAAGACAATGGAATTTTAACATTGTTACACAGACACGAAGCAGGGGACTAAGAATAGGAATACTAGTAATGACAACGTTCAATTCATAAAATGGCAAGAGGACCTGTGTTACAATGCAGTTTCTCGTTTTTTTGTTTTTTTTTGTTTTTTTTGTTTTTTTTAAGTTATTTTAGGTTGTGCGTTTGGATTCGGCGTGGCATCGTCTCTTTTTTCACAGACTTTTTGTGGCGTTAGCAGCAGGTCTGCTGGATGCGGGCTGGTCGAAAGACTACCATGGGCCAGACCTGGCTTCTGGAACGGAGTTTGGGGACCCCTGGCTTAGAGGGAATGTGCTAGTGTACACAAATTTCTTGGTTTGTCATTGCAGGATATGTAGTGCGTGTGTGTTTTGCGACTCATTGCTGTGATCCTTTGCAATGCAGTGATGCCTGGCGTGCGATACCGGGAGATAGGAAACATCATCCAGAAGCATGCGCAGTCGCACGGATTCTCGGTGGTTAGGAGCTACTGCGGCCACGGAATCCACAGGTATGGGGAGCTCGATCTACCGCGATTGACGCAACGAGGGAAGTCCCTACACTATATAGCAATTTGCACCGTGGTACTTTGTCTAGTTACGTAAATTTCTGTGAGTGTGTTGTCGCAAGAATTGGACCTTTCTTTCTGTCTGCAAGCTCCGTATAAAACCCAATCTTTTCCCCACTTTTTCTTTGGTGGAACTTCCCGAGCCAGGCACAGGCCAGATGTTCATCTAAGGGGAAGTTTCTCAGCACCACAATCATTGACAGCATTTGTGCCTCTGTGGCTTCCTCTGCCTCCAATCTTGGCAGTGTGTGACAAATGGAAGGAATGGAAGGGAAGCACAGTGGAACCTCATTATTTCCAAGTCTGTCAGACCGCAAGGAGTCTTAATATTACACAAGTTTTCAAACCCCTGGGAAAAAAATGGTAAAAATTGAAAACACGACACGGTTACACAAGGTAATTATTAATGCGGGCTTGCCGCATTCTCTAGTTCGCGCATTGAAAGTCGTATCCTTACGAGGGCCAAAAAAGTTGAGCATCTTAGAATCGCAGGAGTGGACAACTTCTAACGATTAGATGGCGCCTTCTATGTGAGGACTCGGGCAGACTTGTTGACCTAATTATCTTCAGCCGTCGCGCTCTCTCAGGAGTGTCGCCTTTAATGTGTGTATAGCAAGTCTGCTCATTTTCTTCAGGGTTTATATAGTCTGTGAAGCTAATGCGGTCAGACTCAGTCGTTTTCACTGCTCACGCCGGTGCGTGCATAGCATCAACATGTGCGTCTGCGGAAAACACCATATAATTTCGCTAAGGCATCTTCCGTAACAGAATCATGTGAAAAGTTATGACTTGTATCTCCTATGCTGCAGCGAAAACCATTCACTCCGTACTGTGCTCAAACGAAAGAAACAAGGTGACTGTTATGTGCATAGATTAGCAAACGGGAAATGGAAAAACAGAGGCTGGCCATGTTAATTTTTCTTACTGTATTGGGGTGCCAATTTGAACCACCAAGCAACTATAAAAAGAACTAGAAGGGCCTAAATGGCAAAGTAACTGGTTGTGGGTCTGCACCCTTGTGTTACCTGGTAATATCCCACAAGAAATTATGGCACCACTGAAGTTCTGCAAATTATTCCCGCACTTACAAAAAAGTTTTATTAAGGAGCCAAAAATCATGAGAACTTTCTGAACTTGCAGCCAAAGAATGTTTTGAGCTCTAAGATTGTAGGTGTTCCTATGACCGTGCTGCTGGTAGTGTTGGTTTCCTTAACTTAGACATGTTTAAAAAAGTTGCCTGTGTTCAAAACATTCTATTTTTTTCTGGGTAGGGGGATTATTTTATATTCCAATCTGGCAAACGTTTGGAAATGTGTAACTAGCTTGTCAAAGTTTCTAAACTTACAATAGGATTGAGCATGTTTTTTTGTTCTGCTTCTAGGTTGTTTCACACAGCTCCAAGCGTTCCACATTATGCTAGTAAGTTGCTTTGACATAGAAAATTCCTTTGCCAAGCTTAGAAAACAGGATGAAGACTATATGTACTACTTTTTCTTTCTTGCACTTTTCACAGAAAACAAGGCCATTGGTATCATGAAGGCTGGTCACTGCTTTACCATTGAGCCAATGATTTCAGAAGGTATGTTGCACTTTCCAAAAATAGCACTGAAATTTGATCTGCTATTTCGGGTTAATATTTGTTACGTTTCTTGTATTTTGTTTCTAATTACTGCAAATTTGTTATTAATGTAAGGGCCTGTTACAGTAAAGCCATTTTATTTAGGCTCGAGCCAAGCAACTGAACAGAGTTGAGTACGCTCGTAGATATTTACACTACATATATATGTACTGCATTTCTTAGCATCCTTGTGCATCGAATAGCACCCACGGAAGGTGCATTTTCCGTAGACACCGCTCTATTTTACCGAAGTCTATTAGAAAGAAGCACCGAAAACTGAAAACCCGATTTGCCACATCTGGTCTCACAAAATGGGTTGAATATTGCTATTAAAGATACAGGTGGGGGACCTGTAGCTCCGGCAGGAAGCAAAGAGGGAACTTTCCCACATGCGTCCCGAGCATCACTTTTGTTTCCGATTGTGGATGATCTCGTCCCTCGAAATTCAAACAAGGGGGGGCTCTTTTCCTCTCTCATTCATAGCTTCTTTGATGTTGTGAGATAAAGGTTTGGTAGGTTTTCAGACGCCAAGTTAACCTAATTAGTGTTGATGTTACGAGGGTGGCCTACCATGCTTGCAGTAAAATATTGTGTTAGCGCCCACTCAAAAATGTGAAGGTGAGGTCACGGAGTGGGGACGCAAGAGGGGCATGTGGTAACGTGGACCCTTGCTTGATTTGACCGTTGTATTCGAAAGAGCGGTTGTGCGGTGCACTTGGCAGTGCGTAAAGACAGTGAAGGCTTTCAAAAGAATGCACTCATGCTGAGTATTTGAGCGCTAAAACGCTCTTCACCCGGGGTCACATTTCTGAATTCAAGCGCTGACTCAGCCCCATCATTTGCAAATGCTTCTAGAAATTCCAACGATAGGCTTCTCATTGCCGGAGCTCCAACTACAGCTCATCACGAGTTGGGCCTATAATTCCAATTAAATGTATTGGACTTTCGATGACCCTGTGTATTATTGGCATGCCCAGGAACCTGGCACGATGCGGTGTGGCCGGACAGCTGGACTGCGGTGACGGCTGACGGCAAGCGGTCGGCCCAGTTTGAGCAGACGCTGCTGGTGACGGACACTGGCTGCGAGATTCTGACGCGCAGGCGCAACAAGAACGGACAGCCCTGGTTCATGGACAACTGACCCTCCCCCCTGACCTGACCTAGGTGGTTTCCCCTTTCTCTCAGCAAAATGGACAGCCAGGCTACTTGGTATAATCACCGTCAGATTTGAAGGGGTGATGCAGCGATATTAACTCCGAAAGAATTTGCGGCTCTTATTATACATTGCGTGTCTTGACAAAAGAAATAGAAAACACAACTTCCTTTTTTAATATCTCGATTCCACTGCATAATAGCGAAACCACAGCGTACAGCTGTTTGGCGCGGCATGGTTGGCAGTCAAATGTCTCTCAGTCGAAGAGAGAGACAGTGCTTCAGCGCGCGCTGGAAGCGCTGAAGAAAGAATGCAACCGGAAACTCGGTGTCCTCGGTGCACTCGAGTGCACATCACTGTGCACGTGACTTGGGAGATGGTGTACCAGTTAAGGGTGCCAAAAGCTTCAACCTTTGCCATTCTTTCTTTTTAATATTAACAAGCCTAGGCAGGAAAAATTGATTTCTAGTTGTTTACTCTAGACGTGATGGTAATCGACTCTCGCAATTATTTGACTAAAGATAGAAAATTGTTGCACAGCCTTTTTTAAAGGGACTCTGCGCTTAGCTGCCTGTTTAAGACGCATAAGTCACAAAATAAAGTTTTTGCAGAAAAAAAGTTGATGCAATGTATACATGGTGAAAAACGGCTTACATGCTGTGGAGACGACGAAGGTGAACTATTCAGCAGGTATACCTCTCCTCTGCGCTCCTTCCAGCCAATGGGAGGCTCACGAAATTACTTTTATTTTGATGTCACTGTGACATTCGCCTCCAAATAGAAGTAGATTCTTGCGCCAGTGCGCACAAGCGGACTTTCGGGGAAAGCACATTTTGTGACGTGTCCTATCAGGCAGCTTAATTTAAAGCTTTGGTTTTTGTGAATCCATTATCTCTTAGGTGCCCCACCCAGAAAGATTGACTTTAAGAACCCTATCTCGAGATTAATTAAATTTGTAGCATACATTGCTTGTTGTCGTAAAGGATGGTATACCCAGTTTTACCAAAGTGCATTCATTATTAACGGGATTGGAGTGCTTTTCCAGGCAGCACACCAGTGTTGACCCAACATTGGCACAATATTGGATTGAGTGAATTTCAATATTGGTGTGCAACCCACCCTATCGTTGTGCCAATGAAGATGCCGATGTTTGACCAATGATGGTCCAGGGTTACTTCAATTGTTATGCCAATGTTGGCTCTCTATTTTATCTAACCAAATGCCAGTAGTACCTGCAACTAATATTATGACAGGATTTCTGATATTATGTGTTCAGTAATACTCCTGGATTTCTGTCATTGGTGTTCAGTGATACAGCAGGGTATCTGATATTGGTACCAATTCAATGGTATGCCATTCTATTTCAGTAGTGTTCACCAATTACATTCCAGGTTTTTCAAATTGTGATTCAATCTCGAACTTAATGTAGTCCAGTTATCAGATTTCCCTGATATTGGTAACCAATGGTAGACCACATTTTCTAATAGTGTTATTCATTATTAGCCAAAGTTTTTTAATTATGTTAACCGAGATTAATAGAGCTCCGCCAATAAGGGTATTTTTGTAGCAGGGTTTGGACATCTGTTTGGCAGAAACATCCTTTATCTATAGGCAAATGAATAATGCTGAACATTTATCATATATATATGTTTTTAGTCCAGTTGATTTCATATAAAAGCTAAATGAAATCATCTTTGTTTGCATTATCTTAAGAAACAACAAACATCAAAATTTTGAATGATTGTCATTTATTTGATCAGTGACAGTGACATCTGCCTATGGCAGAACTAATGAAATTTGACACTTTGTCTATTGTGGATGAGTCAAGATGATATGGACGAAAATTTGACGTTTCTTTAAATTATCAACCTCCAACATGTTATGAATTAGAACTGATTTTTAGAAACATTGCTGCCTTGAAAATCTTTGTTGCCAAAACATAATGTGTTTCAGCAGAATATCCCAGCTCAGTGATAGGGCTCCCGAGGCACGAGCTGAAAAGAGTTGCAGAACAATTAAAAATTTCAACTTATTTAATAATTCATCTAAAGGTGCTATAAGTTTTGAAAAAATATACAGCTATGAAGGCAGGGTGATTACCCAGTAAAATTGCAAAAGCAGTTGTTTATGAATTCAGATCGGGCAGGTGGTTGATGCCTAGCGAACTTCATGTCTTGTGAACGAACGAAACAACAGCAATTAAAATATAAGCTCGCGCAAGAATGTTTTTGCCTTCTATTGGAAGACACAACATTACAGACATCGGAGTGATAAAAGTGCATTATGAGTTGGTTATGTTATTTCTCTGCTCATGTTGTCTCCCCTTGGTTTCTTTGCAGGTTTGGCGCACCGGTCTGTAAAAACAGCATGAAGTTGTAAATTTCAAGTGCGCAACAAATTCATGTAAATGTTACTTTTTTGCCAGAATTTTTTCTTATTTTTGCTTAGCAATTTCTAACTACCTAACCCTCAGGGTTTTAAGTAACATGGGGAAGCAAGACTCGTGTGATAGGAAGCAGAGAACAACCGCAAACAAAAAGCCAACTCCGAGTTTTTATTTAGACCTTCTACAGAATGGAAATGAAAAGAAAACTTACATGCTCTGGTATCTTTGAAATAAAGCAAATGATTGGTAGGTGTCTTGTCATCTGCTTGCTTTGTGGCATTACGAGATAGTGCCAAGTGGGGTGCCTAAATGTGCTTCCATTTAAGGTGATGACATTCCTTGTAGTACCCGATGCCGACAGCACATGCTCGCAGGGAAAATACAAAGAAATAGCCGGTGACAAAATGGTGCCGTAGCAGAATCAGTGCCAAAAGCTTGTGCCAGAAAACTTTTTTTGCGTGCTTCAAAACAAAAAGAAAAAAAAGGTGTTAGGAAAGAATGGTAAAATATCATCATTAGGCAGTCAAACCTAAATTTTTATCGGTTCGGGTTCGGGGCTTTCAGTTTTGTTCTGGTTCAGCTCCGGGGAATAAAAAGGGTTGGAACCGGTTTGAACCGCTAAAGAGAGAATATATTTTCTGCATTGTTTAGGCTATAGGCACTATTTCTGCCATGAAATGAGTAGCTATACAGTTTTTTTTTACCTTTTGTACAATTATATTTTACTTTCAGGTACTAAAAAAGACATTTACAAATCTCTCTAATGCGAAATTAGAGTGCAGCTCTTGACGACGAAGGGGGAAAGGTATGCGCCTCCTCCTCCCCTACTCCAGTTCAGTTTCCCCACTAAATTTAGTGGGGAAAATGATGTTGCATGACTTGGTGTCACGTCATCTATGAACAAAATTCAGTTTCTCCGCTAGATTTAGGGGGGAAATTGACGTCACAGGACCTCAACACCAATTCAATTCTTACTAAAGTTAGCGGGGAATTGGTGTTGAGGTTACATGACGTCAATTTTCCCGCTAAATCTAGCCGGGAAACTGAATTTGTCTGCTACATAATAATAATAATAATAATAGTTTATTTTCCATGAAGCATGGTGGAGCAAAGGGTAAAAGCCTCAAAGGAGGTTTGACCAGTCCTCGGCCCCGTACATTGGCGTTGCAGCAAAACAAAAATATATATATATATGCATTAGATTACAAAACAGCTATTAATCACCTAAACAGATGGCATGCACAGTCGTTGTAGAAAGAAATCCGAAAAACACAAAAAGAGTGCATTCTATGTAGCACAAACAAATTTAAAGAATTATTTGAGTGAGGGAGGTAAATCACTGCTACTACATATAAAGAGGATGCAAAGCCTTGAAGGAGATAGTGTCAATGCAAATTTCTTTTTCTAGAAGGAAATTTAACAGCAACATTTGCCTACCATGGTTAGAAGAACAGTAGACAACCTTCCAATACTCCATGTGTCTAGTTAAGTCAACATGTAGATTTGGTGTCAATGCCGCTAGAGTTGACGATGATTTATAATTTTTCCTTTTTTCTGATTTTAAACTCGGAATCAATCTGTATTCATAAAGGCTATGAATTTTTAATAAGCTAAACTTCTTAAACAAACTGCCTGTATGGAAATCATAAGGCAGGTTGCATATTATTCTAACCATTCTTTTCTTTAGTAAAAATAATTTTAGCAGGTTTGCGAATGTGGTGTTACCCCAGACGAGGTTGCAGTAGCTCAGATGAGAATATAACAAAGAATTGTAAATTAATAGCTTCACACTGACTGGAAGTGTTTTGCCGTTACGGAATGTCAGACCTATGATGGTAGATAATTTTGCAAGTAAGTGGTTAATGTGACTGTCCCACAACATATGTTCCGAAAATATCTGTGGAGAAACTGAATTTCCCCGCTAAATTTAGCAGGGAATTGAAGTGGTGTTGAGGCACATTTTTGTTAGTTGTCTGGAAGGTATATAAGTGTAATCTCCGAAGTTAAGCTTCAACTTCGAGGGTGACCATGTTTGTTGGAAATATGAGCCACGAACCAAAAAAGGGGTTCTGCCCTTTAATTCTGCGCAATCCAAACTCGTTAAAAGGGGAACAGTATCGTGCCTAATGAGAGCCTCGCTGGCAAAATCATGCCACCATGTCAAGAATGAAAGCTTCCTCACGCACGTGAATCGTCTAAAACATGGAGGGTACCCCGATCGCTTCTTGGGGGAAGTAGCAAATAACTTTGTTTCCAAGATGAAGAAAAAAGATGACGCTCATATTCCTTCCAGACAACTAACAAGACCGGTGGTGATTCCTTACATTCACAATCTATCACACAATCTAAAAAAAGTGGCGGCTTATTTTGAAGTGCCAGTGGTGTTTTCAGTGCCACACAAGCTGTCTCATCTATGTTCAAAAATAAACAACGAAAAGGGAGCGGGTAAAGTGTGTCAAAAGAAACACGCTAAGCAATACGTGGAGTGTGCAACGTCAGTGGTATATAACATACCAATGAGTTGTGGGAAATCGTATGTGGGCCAAACGGGGCGTTGCATAAATGAGGGTGCCAGGGTACATGCCTGGTCAGTGAAACAGTCCCCGTCGGACAATCTTTCGGTGCACTGTGATAGGTGCCCATGTGGCCCGGAATCGGAACAAACAACAGTTCTGGGCAGGTACACTAACAAAACAGCACGAGAAATACATGAGGCATTCCGTATAAGAGAGCAAGGGGAGAGTCTCTGTACTAGTGCGCCGTCACTGCACTTTACAGATAAAGAGTTTTTCTTTTTGAACCAACACCCAGATAGACGGCATTAATAGTCAATGTTTGTTTCAACAAACCTTCTGTTGAGAGTGCGCTTTGTCTCTGTCCTGTTCTGTGTCCTTGTTTATTCAACGCTTTCCATTCAGTACCATGAACCCAAGCACTCGACTCGGGCTCACGACAATAGAGTATGTCGCAGTGTCACGTGATCTGTAGTGTGAAGTTGTGAGTTCATGTGACGTCACGGTGTCAACGACGCTTAATGGTTCTAGTGACATTCTCTGAGTATGGATGAATGAGGGAAAGCTATACTTGAAGAACAGGAAGAAAATATGCTAAAGAAAGTAAGGAAGAAGGAATGCAGCAATTATGAAGCTTAGGGCACTATGGGATTAAAATAGATATGAAGTTGTTAGGGGAATATGGAAAGAAGTCATGGTGTGGGGGTTGTCTTTTCGCAATGTGGTCATGAAATCTGAAGTTCAGCCAAGTTTGGAGATCTGGCAGAGGAGCGTGTGCAACTGGCACTGAGGGCACATGGGAATGCACCAAATGAAGGAGTGCAGGGAGATGGGCTGGGCATTGTTCAAGTTAGAGAGGCGATCAGTAAGCTGAAATTCGAACAAAGGCTGGACACAATGGTGGATGGGCAAGAAAGGTTTGTGTGCATCTATATGTGAAAAATCTGAACACTAAATGGACAAGCCAAACCCGAAAGCTGAAATTAAAATTCCAAAAGCCAAGGGCTGGGGCAGATCAGACTATCTCTGTAAAAAAAAAAAAAGTAGTAAAAGAAGCCGAGAGAAAAATATGGGAGGAAAGAGTGCAGGGAAAATCAGCTTTCACTATCGCGTGTCTCGAATAGGGGCCAGGCTCTTTAAATCGACTGTAATATTTGTTTTCTTAAAGTATAGTGCTACGATTTCCTGCAGCATTGCCCATGTGTGCATTTTTTCTATAAACTTTGCAAAGAGCGAACTTAAATAACTGAGGAAAAAATGAAGAAAGCTAAAAAGTTTAACTCCTATGGAAACCCAGCGAAGCACCGGCTTTCAATCAATGTAGGGCGCGTAAGGAGTTTTCTTAGACCGTTTTCGCCATTCCACAACGCCCTCCGCAACCCGCTACGATATCTGGAACTCTACAGTCAAGGCTATCGGCGCGCAGGCGCAGTAGCAACTTCTTAGTTGCGGAGGCGCGGTGTAGGAAACGCGGTCTACATAAACTCCATATTGTTTGAAGACCGGTGCCTTCGCTGCGTTTTTATAGGAGTTAAGCCTTTTTCTTTTTTACTTTTTCCTCAGGTGAGTTAGCTCTTTGCAAATTTTATAGAAAAATGCACCACCTGTGGGCAACGCTGTAGAAAATCGTAGCGCGATAACTTAAGAAACCGAATTTTGCGGTCGATTTAAAGAGCCTGGCCGCTACTTGAGACACGTATTTTTTAGGGGACAGAAACGGGAAATAAGGAAGGGACATTGGTTTGATAATTCACGGGAGAGCTCGTTGTTACTTAAAACTAGAACAGGAGTATTGAGGGCTAGGACAAAGGATGACAATGGAACATGTAATGTTGAGGTGCGCAGGGCATGCTCCCTCCCGCGCTCTCCGAGGGTGCGACGGATTTAGCCGGAGCGCTGGAGTTCGTAGACGAGGATGGATGATAATTGCATTTTAATAACGAAGAGGAGATTAGAAGACCGGGGGAAATATTCCAGGGAGAATTGAATGACGTACAACTAACTCAGCTGGGGACAACCGCACAACGCACATTAGAGGCGGAGGGGTTGGGGGGGGGGGGGGGGTGATGATTTTAGTTTTTTTGCCCGATCTTTCAAAGATTATCCTGATGATATTTCACACCGCCTGGTGATAGTAACAAAATTGCAGAGGAGAAGCAAATTGACTTAAAAGGGTGAAGCCATACTTTTGGTTTTCAGTTTTTAAGCTAGGTAGCGCAAGCTATCGCCCAATATAAAGTCTACAGCTCTTAGTATCTATCTATCAATTCATCCTGACGTAACATCAGGTAAAAAACCACGTCGGGGTGCCTTAATTCCGTCTGCTGTACCGCTGTACTGTGACTTTTCGTTTACTTTTATCCTGTTAATTTTGATGGGAGGGGACTTTTGTTGTGCGGTTGGTTGCCACAACCATCGGGCTGCAGACAAAAACGTCACCTTCCACACGTTTCCGCGAGACCTACCGCGGCGGGCAAGATGGGTAGCCGCAGTGCGCCGGAAACACTGGGTTCCCACAAAGAGATCGCGCTTGTGCAGCGAACACTTTTCAGAAGATAGCTACGAGCTCGGCTCGAGGCTCGCGAGAGAATTTGGCCTTGGACAGAAGTCTCCAAAACTCAAGTTTGACGCAGTACCAACGATTTTCTGCTACGTCGTTGCGCCACCAACTCGTCACCGTGGAGCCTTCGCGAAGAGGAGACGCAAAGATGTAAGTCAAAGGGTTTTAATGCAATTAAATGCAAAGGTGCAAGCGAGCTGGTCAAGAATGACGAAAATAATACCTGGAGAAAGGGAGTAAGAGGGACAAAAGACAAACGTAGCTAAGCAAACACAACACAGCATTCTTTTCGCCGTCAACTCCGTATTGGCGGAGAAGCGGTCATGTGCACCCGAGCTGGATCAGAACTCCGTGCGGTAAAGCGACCTTGCAGGCGCCGAGTTTCGGTCGAATCATGTTTCTCGCTTTGCGTTTGCGAAATATACATCCAACACTAAAATACAGGGTGTCTCAAGTAGCGACCAGGGTCTTCAAATCGACCAAAAATCGCTTTCTTAATCTATAGCGCTACGATTTTGTGCAGCGTTGCCCACAGCTGTTGCATTTTTTCTATAACATTTGCAAAGAGAGAACTTACTTGAGGAAAATGTAAAAAAAAAAAAAAAAAAAAAAAAAAAAAAAAAAAAAAAAAAAGGCATAACTTTTATGGAAATGCAGTAAAGCCACCGGTCTTCAAACAATATTGCGTTGTTTGACAGAGGAGACTAGAGATGGTGCAAGCAATTGCGACACCAACGGTTGCCAGTGAATGAGCATATGGCGCCGAGAGCCGGCGTCATTAGCAGACAATCTTTTTGACTCAAAAGCGACGCACGTTCAGCAAGCGGCGACAGTCTCAAAACCAAAACCAGGCGCGGTAACAACAAGCAGTGCAATGCAGGTGACATAAGTACTCCGAAAGAAGCAGTAAAGATAACCCGACAAACCATTTTTTAATCGATTATGTGTCCATTCAATGTGTTTTATTAGTGAGGATGATAAAATCGTACATTGGCAACTGACATCAAAAAAGCTCGCTCCACTTTTGAATCGAAACTGTTGTCTGCTATTTGACGCCGGCTCTCGGCGCCGCATGTTTGTTCGTTGACGGCAGTTGGCATCACTATTGCTTGTGCCATCTCTTGTCTCCCATGCCAAACGGCGCTCTTCCTTGACCATTCAACATTATGTGTAGCCACTGGATACAGTATAATAGTGTTGTTCTATAACGCGAGCGACCTTTTAAAATATGTTTTCAAAGTCCGGGAAGAAGACGCGGAGGCCGATCGTGTAGCTCGTGCATCCGGGGCTCTTGGAGAAGCGACGGTCGCTTCCCACAGTGTGGCCTTGAATCCAACGTGGCCGCCCTGGAAGCACCATTGCGGTACTCTGCTCCTCAAGTCGGAGCATATACAGTTACTTTAAACTGGATATGATAACAGCGCCGTCCTTTAGCGAAAAGTCAAAACTTGAAAGCTCATTTCAATGTTACTTTGGCTCATTTATATAGCCATTGCTTGTGCGACTCGACCTGAACCAATACGTGCAGCCATGCCGTTCCCGGAGTAGCAGCTGCGGGAGAAATGGTAGTGTTGCAATTGCCTTTAGTTCGGTTCTTGAGATAAATGAATAAGCACTCGGAACAGTTCTTTCCCCATCTGTCTCTAGATGAGACGGATGGGGATGCACCTCACCAGAATATTGTACCAATGTTCGTGTAGCAAAAAGTACCCCACAATAAGGTTTTTTTACCGAATCATTCATACTATCGGTAGGAAACGTATCCTTCCATTGTACAAGTGCTTGTCCGATGGAGATATTCTGCTGCTCATGCTGCCATGCTCCATGCTTACGCATGGAGCATGGAGCATGCCATGCTTACGCTGCTCATGCCGCCATGCTCATGCCGCACTGCTTATGCCGCACTGCTCATGCCAAATCTTTCAGTGGTGGCAATTTCTTAAAATGGTGGATTTACTCTATATTTCTGGAGCAGGGGTCTCCAAACCCCAGCCTGAGGGACAAAGCAGGCCCGCAAAGGTCTTCTGATCGGCCCGTGACTGGCCGCGGTACTTCCAATGAAGCCCGGCCCATTGCTCGCTTTCAGCAAGCCCGCTGCCACTGGCACAAAAATAAGCGTGCATAGAGAGACAGCATCGCAGTGCGCACGAACTGCGTGAACATAGATACCATAAAGAAACAAGAGAAATCTTCCTATCGATAAAGCGTGTCTTTTTGTCATATTATTTGTTGGACATTGTCATCAGCACCATCACCTATAGTCCCCTGTTTCATATCTGTGTGACTATGTATATATGTTAAAATTCCTCTGCGTTCCCATTTATATTGCGCTTAGTGTCCTGTGTCGTACACTCTAAAAAATAATATGTCCTCGAAAGATTCTTTGACGCCTCATGAACTCTTTCAGCCCGTGAAGAACGGTTTCGCCTCAAGCACTATCGCCCCCTGGCGTACTAGAAAGGCAACTGGGCAATGATGAACTCTTTCGCATCAAAAAAGGAGCTTAAAAGAGTCCCTTATAGCTTTTTCCTTTTGTGTAACTTACTTGCCCAGCAACTCATTTTCATATAAGGTTTTCTTAAGAAACCCTTTTAGGGGGTGCTTATAATAATTTTTTAGGGTGCAAAATATAGACCTTTTCACCCTTTGTTGCATGGGTGCTGCCATCTTTGAATCGCATGATGCGGCCGCTGTGAGGTGGTTTTAACTCGTCTCTCCCCTCCCCCCTCCACCCCCATTCCAAAGGCTTCTTTTTCATAGTGTTTTACCACAATTTTTTTCCTTGCTTTGTGAAGTGTTGTCTGATATTTATTTTTACTACCTAACTGCATGCCATCATTATGTGCACAACTTCTGCACTTGATTTTATAACACGCTTTGACTAATTGCATTCTCAACGTATTGCATATGTGTGAGGAAAGGAATCAGCGTTAGCACTGGTACACATGGAGTATGTTAACGACTCTAAGACACACGAGGGTTGAGAGGCCAGTTATTTTTGACAGCGCAAAGTTGCTTAAGTGATAGTGGCGCAGTAAGAAGCGCAAATTGTATTTATGATCTTAAAGGAGCTGTGCAACGACTTAACGTTGAAAGAATTTTCACCTTCTACTTTTGTCATTGTTTATCTTGTCACAAAAGACAGAAAACCCACCTTCTCGCGATTCCGCCGTGTAATCGCGAGGCAAAAATTATAATATTTCCCGACCTGCTGCCACAAGTGGCGGCCATGAGAACCATGCGGCGTGACGTCAAAGAGGGAATTGTTAAAAGTTAGCAGGTTGTGCAAATACCTGCTCGATAAAAGGTAATTTTTCTATAAATCTTGTCGTTCTAACATAAATATAAATGCATCAAAAATCTGGTATCATGGACAAAACTTTTATGATACGGAGTTTTAGTGACGCCATCTATCTGAGTTCAACAAAACAGTCGGCTATATCTGCTACCGCGAACAGCCTCCAGAAACCGGAGGAGGACGAAGACGGGGCAGGGGGGGGCGGGCGGGCGGGCGGGCAGGCGGGGCAGAGCCGGACTGGGGATGGCCGGACGAGCATGTTGGCGCTTTCCTTCTTTCGCCATGTTGATTGCGCTGCACAGGCATGTGGTCACATGGATGCAAGCGGGCGAGTTTTTGCTGCTCACTGATGGCTTTAGAGAGAGAGCTTCACCGGAACCCCGCGCGTCCTCCTTTCACGTCACAGTGCACGTGAATTGAAACATGGTGAAGGGGTTGAGAGGTGCCGAAAACCTCAATCTTCGTCAATTTTCTAAAATAAAAGCAAGGACATGCAGGCAAGAGCAATTTTTTGTCCTTTACTTCAGAAAGGTTGACACACCAATTCCTAAATTACAGCAGGGTTCAAAGTTGGGCTAGTTGGTAGGAGTTGATGATAAAATAGGAAGCGCGCAAAAAACAAGGACGATAAAGAGAGGACACGGCAGACAAGCGCTTGTCTGTCGTGCGTGTCCTCTTTATCGTCCTTGTTTTTTGTGCGCTTATTATTTTATTTTGAACTCCCTTATTATTGTTGTCAAGCTCTGAAATCGTTGCACAGCTCCTTTAAAGAAGGCAAATATAGTTGACATGTAGAGTCACTATGTGTGTTGTGTGAATGTATCGTGCTCTGCCTTTATGACAAATCCAAAACAGTTGCTTTGGATTATATGGGGGAATAATGTTTCCGGTATGAACATTCACTCTATGTGTTTATTTATGGATTTAAAGAAACTATACATTGTGCTCTGTCTTATGTCTGAAGCCATTAAATTTTTCTAAGATATTCAATTTAAATTACTTTATTTAGACACAAAGGTTTTGGCTTCCCGGGTGAAAAACATGTCTAGGACAGCTTGTGAGTGCCTGACAAAAGCACCTGAGGCACGCTATATGTGACGCCGAAAAGAAGCCATCTGCATGGAAATCACTCGAGTGCAGTGTTGATTGATTGATTGAAACGTTTATTTGAAAGACCACGCCTCTGGCTTGTGGGCCTCGTGTGGCGTGGGGGAAGGGGAAAAGGGAGCTAGCGATGACGATGGATCAGATGTACCGTCCGGATTTACTCCCGACGCCGCTGAAAGTAAAAAGCATATCTGTTCAAACAAATAAATATCTGTCTACCCAAATCCATGAAGTGGTGCCTGGCATTTGACTTGTGCCAGGCTTGCTGGTGGTCAATTCTCTTGTGCCATTTAATTTTATTTTGCAAGTTATCCTGAAGACAGAGGTCAGACTTCAATCGACGGGTTTGTCCCTTATGTCATATTCTCAGTATGTTGTAAGGAAATTGTGAAATGCTGCTAATGAATAATTGAGCAGGGCTGATCCTACTCTGACTTGGATGGACTAGTGCCACGAAAGAAGCTACGCTTCAGAGTAACGACACTTGCCCATCTTGTGGCTTAAAATCATGGTTGCCAGTTATCTGAAGCTTTATCTGAAATCACAGGGAATGCTTTTCCATCCTCCACAAATGTTTAAACAGTTCGCGATAGGGCAAATCAATATTACATGAGCTTGCTAACTCCGAATCTAATGCTGAGAAAGTCACACTTTTGAACCATGATGATCGACAGTTGCATCTGCTCTGCACAAGCACCAAGATGGTTGCGCCCACAACAATATCGGGGAACAGAGTGCCGACACTTCAAGCGTTGCTCATTTAGTGGCTCTAGGATGGACTATCAAAACATCTGTCAAGTACTTAATTTCTTTAAAGAACCCGATGGAGACAATATTGCTTTTTGTTTTGCATTCCATGCGTCAGCACATGGGGGGTTTCCCGGTTGGCAATTTTCACAAAATGTCGGTGTCCTTGAGAACCGAACAGTGAGCGCTAAGCCTTGCGAGTTCATCTGCTCTCTGCAATTCAGCACATTGTTAATCAGGTCGTCGACTTGCTGTTTCACTGTGATCTCCATGCATTAGTCTTTTAATTATTTTATTTTTATGGAAACTGGTATCAGCGGGTACGTCCAGTACGGCCGTAGACATCCGTAATTCTCCCCCGGTATCATTTCAGTCGTTTCACCGCCAAACCTGGACGAACGAAGAACATGATCAGATCAAGGTGTTCGTAAAAGCATCCAGAATTTAGGCTCGTAACTATGTCGTAGTTCTCAAGGTGGCCCATTACCACTGTATCATTGGTTCTGTACCGCAAGGGATACATTTATATCACAAAACTAAGCGAAAACGACATAACACACCAACACCGCCACGAGCCCGCTGAAACCGAAACCAACTAAATTGAAGCCACCTTATGGCGCCGAGTGTGTCAGCATTCTCTGTCCATCGGTCAGGTAACTACGGAGATGAAAAGGTCTATAGACAGGCCGAAGATCCCCTAAGAGTTATTTTACAACCAGATATTTTATTTCAGAGTGTATCTATTGCATATTGTCAGCACCAGTTCTATTGTTCTCATTAGTCTTCTGTCCTGCATGAACATGCCAAAGTTCATATGCGTTTTGATTTATGTCTTGCGAGTTTTCTGAGTCCCAATTATTGTGTAATGTCATAATTAGCAAAATGTTTATTTTCAAAATAAAGTATATCTTTTCATCCAGCTTCGATTTTTTTACTAACTTCCATTTTTGTATTTAGATGCTGATCTAGGATTATTCATTAAGTTTATTTCTAATTTAAATTTACTTATTTATTTTCTGGCCCTCTAGACAGCAACAGATCCCTGATCCGGCCCCTTAGCCAGAAAGTTTCGAGACCCTTATTCTAGAGTCTAGATAATGTGCAGTTTTTACAACTGTGACAAACATATCAACTGAGTTTGAGTTTCATTCGCTGCAGTTATGTGGGAATATTAGAAAAATGATGTGATCTGGGACATTATTGACCAACGCAGCTTGTTGACGAAGCCATCGCTGCAAGCACAGCGACAGATGTCGCCAGTTCAGTCCTGGATCCAGGTCCGAATCCCCACCCAGTTGAAAATGAAAGCCCTGATCAAGAGTGGGGGCAGGCTCCGGTGGACATCTGTGGACTTTCGCCAGAAGCTGCACAGGGTCCGAAAGAGGTCTCCGCTTCGGTCCAAACGGAGGGGGTCCAAGCGTGCACACAGTCAGTGCAGACCAAGGTGAAAGCCAGCAGTGTAGGTGAGGGAATGTGTTCTTATTTTCTCATATCCAAAATGAGTTTAGTGCATGCATATAAAAAAAACAAGTTGACTGTCTTGAAAGTTTGTAGGATGTGTCCTGTACAGTATGAACACCTTCTAACTTTTTATAAATAGGGTTCGGATTTTTCGGTTTAAACCGATAAAAGTATGCCAAATCCATTTTCGGAAATTCGGTTTTAACCGAAAAAAGTCAGTCTTTAGGTTCGGCATTCTCGATTTAAAACGATAAAAACTGATAGAAGTTTGTCGAATTCATTTTCTAAAATTCAGTTCTAACCGGAAAAAGGTCACCTTGATCTTCCAGTCGTTCCGCAGAGTCGTGGCGAAAAAGTGGAACGACAGTGTCTATCAAAACGTATCCCCCATGTATGGGATACACGAACAGCGTCACAATGTTTAATGGTTTGTTGGTTTAATGTGCGCATCATTGATAGGAATGTGAAGTTTGAATTGCCCCATGACTTCACCATGTACAAGCGTGTTTTCAAACTCGTTGTAAGGAAGACTGACTTAGTGCAAGCTCTGCGTGTTGTGTTAGGCTTCAAAACATCGCACCGTTTCTCTTTCGGCGACCACAATGGGTTGATTGGCCGATTTTAGCTCAGGCAGGGCTTCATCTCCTGAGCTTGCCGGTGTCCAGTGTTAGCGTTGAGAGGGCGTTCTCGAAGCTCAGGGTCATATTAACAGGAAAGAAAGAGTGCGGATCAAGGAGGAGAACCTGGGAAAGTACATGTGTGTGTACTATAATGAGATCACGTATTGCTGATGTACAGAAGGTGAAGTTCCATGTTTTTTAGGCATAGGCTTCATATCTGACTTGTTTGTACTCCTGTGTTTTTTTGTTTTTTTGTTTCTTTTACAGTTGCACACATTTGCCAAATAAAGTGTCCATTTCTTTCTCAATGTATCTGTGCCGTCATTCTTTGAGTGATCACAAATATCAGGGGTACGTGCAAGGATCATCTGATTCGGTGTCCGTTGGTGTTTATTTTATATTCACCGAAAAATGCCGATAAACATTTGTGGGCATAAATATATGCCGAAAAAAAAAAAAAAAACCGAAAAATTTAATGTTAAAATAAAAACCAAAAAAAGTATGCCGAATTTTTAAAAAATAGAAACCGAAAACGCGGAACCCTATTTATAAAGAACTCGGGAGTCTAAAATTTTGTTGGATATCCTTTTGAAGTTTGTATGCATTCATCATATGTGCACATTAGTTTACACACCAGATTTAAGAAAAATTTCAATAATTTTTGTTTTTATGGTTGGCAAAACGTTTTTATTTAAAACTGCAAAAAAGAAAATTTGGCTATTTACATTTTAGGTTTAGAAGGTATGTTGCCTTTTTTAATACCTGGCAATTCTGTACCATTTCAGGAACCCAAACTACATTTGCATATCAGCAAAGAAGCGTAAACTGAGACCCCCCAAGAAAGCGGTCCTAGCATATCTGAGCCTGTGCTAGTAGTGGAAGCTGCAAAACAGATGGCGACTCCGACTCAAATCAGTGAGTATGTGTACTGACTTAATTTAGGTACAGTCACTGTCCGATATTTCGGACTGAATGGGGACCGCGGAAAGATCCCAATAATCAAGTAGCCCTAAAAAACTAATTACTTCAGAATATCTCTGTATTTGCACTTTACATATGAAGCAGCTATAGAAAGTGAAAAATTAATCGGACCAGGTGGTCTGATGGATGGTTTGCAGTTTGTTTTTGCATCTTGGCAAGTCCTTTTGTCACACTACATAGACGAAAGTATCATCAGCGCTTCGATGAGTTCCGTGTTCAGTGGCTATGTGATGAGTGGCATGTGGTTGTCGGAAACAGATTCGCTGTCTGCTAACTTGAGTATGAATGATTTCTTTGTCTATCAAGTCAGCATGTAAGTTCTATTCACGTCTGTCAACTTTCTAAATGTCACAGCAGTGGGAAATGCAAATCCTTGCTCGCGCAGATGTCAGAATGGTAGAGGACAGTGTGGCAGGTAGTGGACGTTGGACAAAGATCGCTTTGTGGATCGCTTCAGTTCTCTCAGTTCAACAAGTATTAGGGATGCTACCTGCTCCCAGCAGTGACGAATGTAAGTTGCATGTATTGTGTTAACCTTCGGACAACTTGTAGTGACAGACCTTTCCGGGAAATCCCAGGAGACGTGGAATTGTGGGGCTGTTCCGATCGATGCACGCTCGTGCTGACTCGAACGCTTCCTATACCCTGCAAGCGGCACAATTCATTCTTTCTTATTGTTAGGAGCTTGGAGTGCACACAAAAATAAATCTAACACAAAATGATGTCATCACACACTCAGTCTTTCTTTCCTCCTGTCTTCTGTGCATTACGAAATCACAAAATGTTAAACCAACGTCAAGTTCGTCTTCGATTCCTGGATAATCTCACGTGCCGCACATTGGAACGTCGCAACGCGTCAGGCGGACAGTAGAGGCGCCAGACATTCTCGGAAAGGTCTGTTAGGCACATATATTCATAAAGACTGGTACTATAGCTGTTTTGTATTGTTATCTGCCCTGTTTGCTTTTTAATGAAATGCTATAGACATACATATTCTTTAATCCTTGTCTGAGCAAGGTCCTATCTTTGCAACAGGTGTGGAGAGCTGAACAAGCTCTCGTTGACAGTCTGGGAGGGTGCTCCCTACGGCTGGCCTGTGACGTTTGGTGCGACTCCCTCGGCTCTTCTGCCCTTTACGGGACACACTCCCTGCTCGATACAGGCGTCAACCGCTTCATTCACCTGAAGCTCATAAAGGTGGGCATAATGAATGTCTTGCACCATAATATTATGCTGTAAATGGATTGTCGCCTCAAGAAAAGTGTGAGGTTTGCTCAGTGTTGTGCTGCATGAGGTAGTCCTTCCGAGATTTTGGTCGTCCGAGGAGCAGGCATCTTTTTGTGCTTGAAATGAGCATGTGTAAATAAAACAATATACAACCAACTTTAAATACACAGACAGTCCACTTCCATTAATTCAACCTGATTGGGGCATGCACAATCAGTTCAAATTATTTTGAAGATGAATTGCATGCGTAATTTGCACTAAATTTTACCTTAATTATTCACTCGAAATAAGCCACGATGATGGTCTGCACTCTCGCTCGGAAGCGGGCACTGGGCGAATGATCTTGAGAGATTGCGATGCGCTCCAAAGTGTGCTCAGCACACTCACATCAGCTTCCCGATTAAATAGAGCAATCTTTCTCGTAGGCCTCGGTAATGCTTCCCTCGTTCTTCGCATTAGTCGTAAGAGTGCTTTCTCGTTCCGCATAAACTTTCTTCGATCTTGGTCGTCGAAGATGGCAGCCTTCGTCGCAACATCGACCATTTTGCGCTTGTCACTGGTTGTGCATGGCCGTTACGAGTCGCGGAGAACGTCAACACCAACGGACGTTGCAACCATCACAGGCAAGGCCAGGAAAGATTGCCAACAGTGCAAAGAGAAACGAGAAGCGCGCACAGCTTTGGAGCTGACGGGGATCGGAGAACCGGGCAAAACACGAGAGGCGAGCAGACGAGACATTCCTTGTGCCACAATGCGACTATCGTCATTGTGGCACAAGGAATGTGCATTCATCTGTTGCTATAGCCTCATTTACATGAAGGTGACAAAGACTTACCGACTCCGAGTCACACAAGGGACGGAGTCAGTGCATCACTGTTTTTATGGATGTGCAAAGTCCCGAGCAAAGCTAGTGTCGCACAGCATTACATCTCAAAGTCGGAGCTGCAGTTTCAGTGTCGTAGATTTCTGAAAACATTCCCACAAAGTTCGAAAGAGTGAGCACCACAGATCACTAAAAGATAACATTAAAAAGAAAAAAAAACATAATTTTGCTGTACTTTCCTTTTAAAATTTTCCAGTACGTTCGCAAAGGCTGCCATTGAATAACGTTGGTTGCCGTCATATCACGAATGCTTCCATCTTCTCCCAACCGATACTTTACTAAAAAGAATCCGATTTCCCTGCATCATGAGTTGAGGGGCTTGCTGATATTCATCTTGCTTACTACTGCAAAAATTGCTTGCATTTCGTCACAAGAAAAAAAAAATGTTTGTGCAAAGACATGGCCCCGTTACCTCTTCCGCTACTGCCACCATTCTCTTAGCTGTCCAATGCTATCCCACTTCAGTCCCACAGCGAATGCCTTCTTATAATCCTGTTTTTTGCTCAATGCGACGTGACTTTCGTGTACATGCATTCCATGAACGCGTATTTGGTGGCTCGATCCACCTTTGCCTAGCTGCTTGAATGTGGTGCACTTTCCTAGCAAATTGACCCATTTACGTGACAGGATTTAATGCGATAAGTGGAGTTGATGCACTTATATTGCATTCATGTTTTGCAGCTTATGATTAGGGTGTGCATTTTCCGGTTTTAACCGAAAAACACCGATAAACATCCGTCGGTGACGAAAATATAAAATCGGTTAAAACCGAAAAACACCGGTGGTTGGATTTTTTCGTTCTGGTTAAAACTGAAAAACACCGGTCGTGGCATGATTCCGACCTAGCGAAACCCTTTTCCCCGTGGAGGTGCGTCAAACCTGTTATCTCGTGGATCCTGCATCATTCCAGTGTTTATACATGGCTTGCACATGGCGTCAGTCCGCCCTCCTTTCTGGGGGTCAAAAGCGTCTAGTGAACGCAGTGAAAACTAATCTCTCACACGCCTTTCTCCTATAGAGTCTCCCATGGCCCCCTTTTGTGGAAAAATTAATGCGGTGGAGGGTAGGCTCTCTCGTGCCCTTTCCCCATTGTGTCTGGCCAAGTGATGTCGGTGCAAGCCACGTATTAGAGGTTGCTGTGGTTCCTGGAAGACAGTGCCAACGTCCGTGTCATACAGGAGCGTGCGTTTTCATAATTGTGGGTTGTGAACCGCAAGCAACCTGCTGCCATGACGGATGCAAGCCTCTCAAAGTATGCTTGCATCTACTATAATAACCAAGTGTGAGAAAAAGATGTTTCCTAAAAGAGAAGTGTATGCAATATGTGAATAAAATTGGAACTCTCTGTCTGTGATAAATCACATTTTTTTCCATCGATAATCACCGATTTTAGCCTTGTCGTGAGACGTTCCACCGAAATACACCGGTGTTTTGAAAATAAATAAACACCGAAAAACATCCGCCGATTTTTCTCACAAATAAACACCGGAAAGTACACACCCTACTTATGATGCTAGCTGTGACCTTGGGAAACTTAAAATTTTGCCCTGCGCGCACCTAACCTCACTTTGCCGTGTTCTGAGTGCACTTTGTGAAAGGAATTTCGATTGGTTGCACGTCGGACATGGCCAACCATGCCGTAATTTGCTCATCGCTGATTCTCTCTAGATCGAATATCCAATATTTGGCTCTGGAAGATCAAAATAACAAGCTTTTTTCTTCATACTAATGTATGGGTGCCTGCCAGGGACTTTGAATATGATAAAATTAAGATGAAAAGTCGAATTAATGTGAGTCTACTGTTGTCTTAATTCACCAAACAAAGGGAAATTAGTAAGGCTCTGCAATGAGCTGAACTTTTTTTACTGGAGTATTTCATTTCATTTCATTTCATTTTATTCACCTCAAGGGCGTCCGATGGACGCATTACATGAGGGGAGATTTGAAAACAAATCAAGTTTAAAAAAAAAGGAGAGAAACAGAATAGCAAAACACAGAAACAAGAAATGTGATCGCGGATACACCCAATGTCGTCGAACAAATCGAAATAAATTAAGAATAAAGCACGAACAAAGCACAAAAGCTATTATACAGAAACATAATCAAGGTGAATAATTATACAATATTGAACACTGATCTCGAAATGAAATAGGATTGCTGTCAGTAGCAATACGATCAGGTAGTGCATTCCAGTCTCTGATACAAAGTAATAAGGGGGAGAAAAGGAAAGTGTTAGTGCGACTCAAGAATGGTTCTACTTTCCGACAATGATCTAGTCTTGGCGATGTAAAACTGGCAGGGCGGCAATAAACTGATTTAAAAGGCGAATCGCTGTAATATATGCTATGAAAAAAACAAAGCCGAGTTATTTTACGTCTTAGTTCAAGAGGAGAGAGATTATTGCTAGTTTTTAAGGCCGAGACACTAGTTTCCGGTGAGTAGTTATTGCATATAAATCTTACGGCTTTGTTTTGGACAGATTCCAGTCTTTGAAGAAGATAAGTTTGGTGAGGGTTCCAAATGGTGCAGGCATACTCTAATTTGGGAAGGATTATTGTCTTGTATGCGAGTAGTCTTGTTTTAGGTGGGGCAAGATATAATGTTTGTCGCAAGAAGCCAAGCGTTTTCAAGGCACTGCTTGTAATGTATTCAATGTGGTCGTTCCATGATAGAGTGTTTGTTAAATGTATTCCCAAGTACTTATATGATGTTACATGTTCCAGGTGTTGTGATAACAATGAATATTGTGATTGTGTTACTGTGGAAGACTTAGAGGTGAAAAGAAGCGTACTGCAATCAACTTAATTTCTGCGAGGACCTAACTTTTCACGAATTGCTTGCAATTTAAGAACAATAGGTCTCACAAACAATTCGGCAAAAATGTCAACACATTGGAAACTACATGGAGGTCCTTCCGCCATGCGAACATTTGTACGCACAAATAATTCCAAAACTACAGCTTTGGCCAAATTTATAAAATATTGAGCTCGCAAAAAATAGGCTGTTTATTGTAGCCTAGAATAACACATGCGTACAGGTAAGTTTGAGGCTTGGAACTACCTATACATACAAGTTATCTAGAATTGACACTAACGGAAAAAAGGAGACAGACCGGCAATATAAAAAAGAGATGGAAGAACGCTCATGAGTGTTCTTTCTGGGTGTCGGTGTTACGAACATTTGGTTTTCCCTGTTTGTTCAAGGAATTCAACTGCTAGTTTTGTCCTGGAGACTGCTGCCATGTATGAGCTTTCTACCTTGTGCGTTTGTCCACAATTCGGCACAGTTTCGAGTCTCCATCATGGACTTAACCCAGCTCACCTGCCTTCTTTTCGGCTCAACAATCCTGCGTAGGGCTCTCTCAAAAAACAGCTTGCACCCACTCGGGGTGCAAGCTGTTTTTTTAAGATAAACGTTTTCGAGGTATCATCACCTAGTATTCGGTGGGCTTAGTTTTTCCGAATTATGGCTTAATAGTTTTCTCGTGCTTTATGCCTTTTTGCACTTAATAATTATTTAATGTACAAGCTAATCCCTACAATGTATTATTAGTATGCTAGCACAGCCCTTAGTATTTCTTCACTGGTTGTTTTTCAGTCAACTGGAGTAAAACCCAGCTCTCACGTGGAACTGGAGGGGCTGGTCAGGTCCCTGACCTACTTCGCAGAGCTGGATCTGACTGCGGAGGGGATAGCCACCGACAGGCACTTGCAGGTGAATGCCTACATGAATCGGAAGCACCCCCTCATCCAGCATCTTTTCAACCTCTGGCATGTCAGCAAATGCAAGCCAAAAATGACAACCCTGTTTAATGATACATATGGATGACTAGCTCAGTGGAATATGTTAAGATAACTAAGAACCAAACTTAGTATGATGCACATAAGGTGCATTTCAAAGTCCTTGCACAAAAACATAATGCTTTAAGTTATCCTATCCTGGACTGGACTTAGTGATAACTCAAGCCAAGTGAAGATATTGAGTCATCAATATAATATATGTTTGATGTGAGGCAAGGCAGGTGCTCAGCCCAGGGAGTTTCAAATCGACTATGCCTCGCTTCAGGTTTCCTATTTTGTGGACTTAAATAATAGCTGAGGTACCTAAGTCGGAGAGAAATTGTTTGCTGCACTGTGTAGGTGCTATGTGACAGATTTAAGTTGCATGTGGAATATTCTCTTATCATGGTTGAAATTCTCATTCCTTGCTGAGGCATCCACCTTTTTTCATCGGTTTAGATTTTAATCCCCCCCCCCCTTTTCGAAATGAAGCTATATTCCTTTCATGTTTTTCAGTTGGGTCATGGCTTAATTGTGTCACTTATACACAAAGCTATAATTTATTTGACACCTTATGACAGATTTATTTATTTATTTATTTGCAATGTCCCACAGTGCCCCTGAGGGAATTATAGTGGGGGAGGAACAAAAAGTACATGACACCTCGGTACATTGAAAAGGCAGGCACCGCCAACCGTAGCCAGTGTACAAAAAGAGCGTAGAGAAGGGCACTCCAACTCTTTATTATACACTAAAGCACCAGTACACCAGTGAAACAATATAAATGTGTTAAACACGAAACAAAGAATTTAAAAAAAAATTAGTCTTCTTTTACCAAAACAAGTTCCTCTGGTAATTGATTCCATTGTTGAATAGTGCATGGAAATAAAGGGTACTTGAAGATGTCAGTTTTAGATGACTGATGTCTAATCTTCCTTGAATGATCATGTCTACGAATGCCTCTAATTCTCATCTGGTGGCCTGGCAACATTGGCCGAATTCACCCAAGTTAGTCATGCCGTGGTGTCCGTAAACCACGTGATCATGTCGTGTAGTATGATGCCTTTTCATTCTAGGCTTTCTCATGCCCCAATGCTTGCCCGAACTCTCCACGCCACAACCCTCACGCTATCAGCTGTGCAGAAGCGATAGTTTTGTGTGTGAACGATTTCATGGCCGAGTTCTCGTGCGACATCATCACGGACGACGGCGAGTTTGTCTGTGATGACCTGTTGCTGGAGCTGGTCGCCAGCGGGCCAGTCAGAATGATCAGCAACGCCTTTTAATGACAATCACTCTCATCGCTATTGCGACCGATGTGAGACACGTGGGAACTAAAAGGCTTCGCCGAAGTGAGCGATGCCGTGGATGTCGTCTTTCAATCACATGCTCGAAACGCGGGAGGTAAACAAGGAAGAGTGAGCGCGAGACGTCAAGAGAGTCAAGTCTGCGAGCGCTTGCAGGGGAACGGTCGAGTTGTGCCGGCCGGCGGGCGGGTGACATCACTAACCTGCCAAACGTGACGGGCCTCATGAATGGGGTGGATCCAAGGGTCCCTCAAATAAATTGGTTTGTCCACGAAAGTAATGCGTCGTTTACAAAAAAATATAGCACATATATATTAACATCCAGTGGTTTCTAGCAGTATGATTAATTGATCCTTTATTTTTCGCCATGTCCTAACCCCTTCAAAACTGCTAACTTATCATGCACTGCTGTCTCCTTCAGGATGTACATTGCAGCGCTGCATTATAACAGTAACGCAGACTGGAAGATCTGTCGGACAAGCGATGGCGATCACAAGTATGCGCTGAAGGTTTCGAGTGGAA